GAGTTAAATTAAAAAAGTACCTGCCTATCAGCGAACAAACAAATTCTAATGCTGTGATGTCAAACAGTTTCTACAAAGTGAAATCGTCTGATGAACAGTTAGTATCACACACCCAGGAAATGTTGATCAGCTGCAAAGTATAAGTAGTAGTAAGAATCTTTACATTCATTATCATAAAAAGCAAGTCTCAGAGCTGGCTCAGACAAGATGGTGTGCAAATAAAAACACACGCACAAAAAAATAATCTGTAAATTAGTTATTTTATAGAACTTAAACTAAAGTCATGCTTTTGATGAACTGAGAGTGAGCCATAGTTTGAATATTTTTTTTTATTTCCTGTGATATATATTTCATAGTTTAGATCTTATTTGTCCTACTTGTCAATCTAATAGGGCCTACAAACGGACCAGTGTTGTTAGCTGTGCATATTAAAGCCAACCATTCGATGAATCCTAGAGGAAATACTGCAGTAAAAGCACTTAAAGTCTTGACTTTCTTGCTCCCTTACTGCTCTCTCATGTGTTTGACCCTAATAAGGCTTTTTTCCCTGTAGTTGTCAGAGAATATGTGGTGTTATTTTGGTATTATTAAGTGATTCACTGCTTCTTGGTTTAATGCAACTTTCATGTTTGTCAGTGTCCTTCAAGCTCTGAGTGAGTGACAGGTGGATTTGCATCATTACAATGTGGTGCAAACTCTCCAAAGTAGCACAACACTATGAGTCAAGTACAGAGGATTTAAAAAACGTGGTCTCCACTTATACAATTGTGTAGGTATTTTTTGGCAGTGAAATGCAAATGGCACTATACTAGCACTTAGACAATGATCTACTTTAACTTGTTAGATGTATTAGCAATATTTTCAACACTATCTGGAATTATAAAAAGAACTGTGGCACACAAAAAGTGTGTGATCAAGAGGGCACAGCAGCACATACACGATTCTCTGTAGCATGTGTGAGCTCAAGAGGAATGTGTGACAAATGGGCCACATCACAAATTTCCCAGGAGTTCATATTATAAAGCGCTACCTAACACCAAACTCTATTTATATACAGTCTGTACCAATGCGTGCTTAAGTATTCTCTTTAGTTTAGATCCAGTCCTTACTTTCATGTCCCTGATCAAGACATTTCAGCTACACATGACACTACGGTACTGTCCATTTAAATTCGATGTAAAGACTTGTTAGATTATTATCCGACTGCTTCACTCTGTGGCAACTCCTCTGAAAAAACACAGGTCTACCTCACCAGGAATTTCCCTGTTCACTGTGATCCATACATACAATATATGCACATGGAGTAGTGACTGTAAAGGGACCTGGTTGCATTTCAGCATCAGAGAGAACTATTTTTGTCCCTTTGCCAATGTGTGTATGACGCTGTGGCATGTTTCACATGCTTTAAAAAAGTCTTCTTTCTATCAAACAACATGATTAGAGCCAGTGTCTTGTGGTCAACAGAGTGTTGGTGAGCTGGTTCCAGATTAACCCGACTTTGAAGTGAATCCTTTGCAGAATAGGATAAGGCTAAATCCAGAGAAACACGCGGTGTGGATGAGCTCTTCTGAACAGTACAACAGTATGCAGGTGAAAAATGGAGATTGGTTTCACTTATGATGAATTAATTTCTAGGCTCACAGTGTTAAACATGGACATGTTCACATTTAAAAGAGTTGATGACATTGTCTCCATGAACAAATGTATTGCAGAATGGAAGTGTGCTGGAGATCTTATCTCTCTCAAAGGACAAGAAAAATTATGATGGAAAAAAGAACAGATTAACAAGAGCCAATAAGCATTCCAATGTCAAAAATGGGTGGATGGTGATAAGAAAGAAAGCCAGCTTCTCACAAAGCCGCGAGCACTACCACAGTAAATGTAAATTGTCCTGACCAGAACGTTAACTATTTGGTTAATTATTGAGAGGTAGGCAATACAGCCCCTGAATCGGTCAACATCATGATCATTAGTGTCTTTGGTTGTGTTTTGTTCAATGTTGTATCCTTCTTTAAGTATTTATTCACTGTCAGTCCAAGAACTATTTGAGTAATTGCATGAGCTACCCATCTGTTTGAGCAGCACAGTGTTGATCTTACAGGCACATAGGGGCATGTGGATTCATGCACACGTTCTTGTCTTTGCCAGCTGGCCCACTGCAGCTCCAGCAGGAGGTGAGTTCTGTGACGTCAGCCTCTCGTTGTGGACATGAGCTGGAGAAGAAAGCTCATGGACAGCACCTTCTTTTCCTTCTTTACAATGTATCAAATGGACATAGACCGTACGTCTTGGCTAGACTATAATTCCACCTTCCTATGGTGCCAGATAGACTGGTAACACACACAGAGATTGGGTGCACAGGGCAGCTGACGGTGGAGCATTGATTGGCCAGAGCTGAGTGTTTCTCATCTCAGTCCAATTCATTAGTGCTGAACGACTAAAGTGGCTGACCTCAAGCGTAATGCCATCAATGCAACAGAATCAGTGAGATTTCCACCTCTTTGTGACCGTAAAAGCCACCTCACAATTACGGATGCAGATGAAATGCTTAGATGGGCACATGAAAGAGAACATTTGAAAGTACAAAACAACTTATATTTGTTTTGCTTATAGGGTCATATAACTTTTTTAACGTTTTATTATTGAGTTACAGATATACAGTATATGGCAACATAATCTTCCGAAGTTTGTTGAATATTGTTAGAGAGAGTAGTTTTTGAATACATGTGCACTTACACATTTGCTCACAGTGGTTCTAATTTACACTGTTGTTTAAGTGTTACACTACAGAGGCAGAATTAGTCCTCATGATCATCATCTGTCTCGATTAAATAATACAAATCCTATTGTCTAGTTGATTTTTAATTACTGATATTATTCTTATTGATATTCTTAATATTATTATTTAGGCCTGGTTAGGTTAAGAGTGTCACCTTTTGATGGTGAGTTTTTGTTATGAGAAGCAATGCCGTGTCCACAGAGAGCTCTGGTTTCTAGTAGGAGCAGAGCCAATCAGCTGGACATGCACAGCTTCAAAGTCTCCCTTCATGAATACAGGGGCAGCACAGGCTCATTCCCCTTTCTGAGCTCAGGGCACAGGGATCTCCAGGGGTCATTTGAATGAGCTAATTTTTAGACGTTCTTTATCTCAAGAAAAACACAAGGAAATATTTGTACAATACTACATATGGCTCTATTATGGTTATCAATTAAAATGTTCTGTCTGACAAAGAAACTCCATGTAAAGGAGAAACAACACAGATCTATGTTTCATCCATGACTTGAAAGCCTGGCTACTTATTACAGTAGACATCTTGTACTGCTGATGAAAAACTGCACACCACATTTACACTGTAACTACATCATTACACTGATCAAGATTTCTTTCCTTGTTTTTGTTGCAAGTGTTACATTTTGAGATAGATGATAGGCCTTTCATTCTCAGTGACTAATTACATAATTCAAAACCATTTAAGAAAGCTACGTGCCATTCTCCAGTCCTGCTGATCTGTACATGCTGAAAACACAATCTACAAATATACTAGGCACAAACAAAATCTTTTATCTCAGATTCTACTACATCTACACAGAAAGAGGGGACATGATGGATAATCTGGATAATCCATATCACAGCAAAATACTCCACCCTCAGATGTGAACCACCCCACAGGCCCCTCCCTCAGGTGTGGGTAGCAGTGCCCCTCTTCTCAGCCTGTTTTGCTCTGCAGAAGCTGCGGCTGAATGAAGCCTTTGTTTGTGCCCAACATGAGAGCACCGTGTCCTGCACCAAATCAAATCAGTTTCACTAAATTATGGCGGCTTAATAGCATTAGGACCTGCTGACACTCATTTAGTCCTGTCCTGCAGTTTGTGGTGTTGGGCACTGCAGTATGTACAGTGCCACCACATGGGCAGGAGGTCCTCGCACAAAAATGGTTGAACTGAAGAAACTTAAGATTATGACGACACTACATTATTACATTAAAGACACTGAATATTCATAATATAGCAATCAAGGACACCTATTCAGGAGGAAGAGAGAGCCTTTTATCTGCAAGTCTGACTTAACATATTCAAAAATAATTTTTGTCTTCTTGTAATATTCAAGTTATTAATCCCAATGAGAAAAACATCACTCTTGACAATGATCTCATCTGCAACAATAGAGCATAATGAAAAGGTTCCTGAATATACTCGTGAGGTCTTTCTATTCTTAAAGTCTCTAACTTGCAGTAGTTACAAATAGTGTTACAAATTAAAAAAATAAATAAATTAAATTACACAGATCTCTGAAAATGTTTAAATTCCCAAATCTAGTATCTAACTGGGTCAACAGACAGTCACATATAAAAAAGTACGTATGGTCTGTATTAGTGAACCATATGAGTCTTTTCCAATACTTTCTTAATAGTTTAAGATTTGCATTGCTTTGCTGCTGCTACTTTATCCTACACAAAAAATGTATGGCTTATTTAATGAATAATAAATAATTCTGTGGATGGACCAAGCATTTAAACACATGCACATGCCCTTCTTCAGGACCTTATATAACAGTTTTTGTTTTTTTTTATACAGGCTTGTATAAACAAAAACAGGACTATTTGGTTTCTGAATATTTAAACATTAATGTATGCACTGGGCTACTTATCCTCATTTAAATCTGCAGCTTTGATTAGCATTTAAGTGAAAAGTGTGAGTTAAAAGAGAGTGTCTGTGGATGTGTGTCGTAAGTGCTGCCATTGGAAGCAGATAGAGATATTAGTCTGATGGGGCTGGACCATAGCCTATGGGCTGGACACGGGCCAAAAGGGAACACAAGGACACAGCACGCCCGTCCATGCTGACAGCCTGATAATGTACATGACTATTCTCAATATCTGACCATATGTCAGGGGACCTTGAAAACAGGATGCTGTGCTCTGTGTATTACAGAATGTACAGTTGAGGTTTACGGTCTGAGAGTAGGGAGATGTACTGTACAGCACTATTTTGAACTAAAGTCTATGTTGTCATAATTTATTGAACATTTTAAAGAAGCTCATAATGTACACAAGTTTTTATCCAGAGTAACTTTGCCATACTGTCTCTAATCAAGACCCAAATCACAGGCTTGACCTCATACTGAATCTTCACACAGGTGAATGATTTAGCAAAATCAGGAGTTGTAGAATAAGTTTCAGGTAAAAGAAAAAAAAAACTTTAGAGATTATCATGGACTGCCCTCTCTAAAAATAAGTTAAGTTCAGTTTGGCCTGTGTTTTTCATGCTTATACAGTAATTTTTATTAATGAGGAGAAGTCCATAAATGTGACTGATGGAACTTATTTTGGGCTCTCAAATGGCACTGCATTGATCACCGCTGGCTTTTATCAAACTCTGAGTACAGAATCCCCTCAGGGCATTTTTCCAATCTCCTATGTTTAACAAAGACAGCAATTAATCCAGTGTCAATGAGCAGTAATGGGGTCCACTAAATGAGGGACTGATCAATAACAGAACACAGCACTTTATGTAAAACAGGTTTTCACATTTGCAACAATTAACCGCTATTATCTATAAAATCCTTTCTGTTAACATTTATTTAGTTTTCTAGTATTTAAAGAAGACATTATGCTATTTTTTGTATTAAAATATAACATACGTAGATCAACATTTAACATTTAGTTCATTGTAAAACACAATTAATTAATCTAAGACTGCTTCATAATAATAAAAAACATTGATTATCTATTCAAAACAGCAACAACATTTTTTCATTTTTGTTTTGAATAATGACAAGCAAAGACAGAGGAGGAGGAAAAGATAAGGGATAGGTGAAAATTTTAAACTTTCAGAGCACCTCAAATGCAGGACAATGGAGGATGACGCAGGCATGAATAAATAAATCAAAATACAACTGGGTAATCCCACCGTTATAACTGTATTAAAATATAGAAGATTCTCCATGATATGTTGCTTTTTAATAATAAGAGAAAGCAAAATATTGTATGAGAATCAGATTTTATTCCCAGACAGAAACTTGTAAACATGCGTTTTTGTTTTGGCCAGAAGAGCGGGATGGTTAAGTTTGAGTTCTTGTTCTTAACCAAAGGAAAAATCTGTGGAACTAATTTTTCCCTCCATCTGCAGTTCATCCCTAAGGGTTTTATTCTTAAAATTAGGTGTTTCATAGTTTCAAAACCACCATTAAAATCCATGAAACAGATTATTGCAAGTAATACAACGTGTCCATAAACACTTCTGTTACAATGTATAGTCGACTTTCTGAGGATCTCTTCACTAATGCACCATGTGGTCTGGAGTAAAGGACCATAGCACACGTGTTCGCTGCTCTGTTTCACTTCTCACTCTCATCTCGGTGGTCCTTGTCATTACTGGGGTCCTGTGGCTGCAGGACTTGTTCCAGACGCTTGGCCCTGATGGGAGGCAGCTGCTCGTACAGGTCAAAGCCACAGTCTGACTGCTGCTGGGGCAGACGGAACAGCAGGAGGTGCTTCTTCAACACCTGAGGAAAAGGTGTTCAGTTAACTTGTGTTCTCAGGGCAAGGCAAGGCAGGTTTATTTGTAAAGCACAATTTGTACTAAACAGCAGGAAGCCAGTGCAGAGAGCTGAACACAGGACTAATGTGTGCAAATGTCCTGGTTTCACATCAGGGGCACTCATGAAAATACGAAAACCAGAGAGTATCCAAACGAAAAATTATAGAATCTAAAGCTCCACAAGATTTTAGACACTTTACACAGGTTTAACAGTCCAATCACTCATACCCCACTCGGCTGCTCCTGTACAGACTGGTCAGTGTGTCTGTAGTCAGGGCAAAGAGTTTGAGCTGAAAATGGAAATGAAAAGCAGAGAGGGACAAAAGAATGCAGAAGTACAGATTTTTGGGGCAGAGCAGTACCTCATCAGTCAGATAGAATATTTTCCGGAGCATAGAGATTCGGGCAGCCTCCACCTCCTGTAACACATACACATACCATCAATGCAGGCCATGGGAATTCTCAGAGTATTGGTATTGGGGCTTGTTATGAACACAAATGGGTAGTACATTTTGGACTAAGAGTGCAGAATCTAATGGATAATTATGACCATGACTTGGCTGATGTTAGGCATAGAAATAAACAAGATATCCTCCTTAAGCTTGTGCTTCAGTGCAGCAGCTACAGTGTCTGACTATGTGAAGTATGTGACCCGTTTCCACATGAGCTGTGGGCTCCAGGCTCTTTTACACTGGGTTCACAACAAGCTCCTATCACCTTTCTGTTCTGCATTAGAGATTGTATGCTTTTTGAGGTTTATAAATGTGTGACTCAAAGCCCATTTTGATGATAGACAGTTATCACAGACTTTCAGCTGAAGAGCTCAGAACTGAACTAAAATCTACAAAATAAATGAATGAAGCAAGTAGCCTTCTAAAAGGTCAGGTCTGTTGCCAGATATATCTTTACAGGGAAGTATATGCTACCTGTGCTGCAGCGTGCTGGGAGAAAATGAAGGTGTTGAGGTGAGAGAGTGCGACCACATAGAGCACGGGGCACCAGCATTGCTTCAGAGCTCCAGTGAGCAGGCAGCGGAAGTACAGACGGAGCAGGGTCAGGCAGTCCTCAGGAGGAGAGGTGAAGCACTCCAAGGGGATGGACAGCTAAGGATGTTAAGATTTACATTTAAACATTTACAGCAATTACACTGAATTTGCTTCAACTGAATCAAACGAATAATACATGACTAGTAAAGTGCAGTTAACTGGCAGAGGTAATAACCTGTTCCACAGTGACACTGAGTGAGCGGAGGATCCCGACATGCTCTCCAAACACAACCAGTCTCAGATCCACACTATACCTCCTCTGCAAAGGTAGCAGCATGAAGCAGCCAAACAGGGGGTCCCCAAATGACACGGCCTCATAATGAGCCAGCAGGGCTGAGTACAGGTCCTGGAAGGAGGCCAGGCCTGGAGGAGGGATGCTCAGGTCCAGTGAATTCAAGCGGGAAGCTCTGGAAACAGAAACAGCACATCTTCTGTGATCACAAGGTTCTATAATCTATAAGAGGAAATGCTTAAAGGGAGGAACCTGGTGAGCAGCCTGAACAATGCCCAGGACAGACTTTGGATGGGTCTCTCCAGGAACAAGTCGCTGGAGCAGAGGAACACACAGGACAAACGGGACAGTTTGGCTACAGGCAGAATCACCTACAACAAGAGCATCTGGTCACTTACTCAGCAAAATCACTTCAACCGCATCAGTTCATTCAACTTGAGCACAGAAATTTAATGCAGAAAGGTTGCTAAACTTATGTATGTTGTTCAGGCTGTGGTGTCTGCAAAGTGATGAAACATATTCATGGCAATTATCAGTGTACCTTTAGAGCCTCCTCTCTCCAGACCTCCAGCACAAGCAGCCACTGAAGGCAGTGGGTCACAGCCATGAGAGCCCCCAAGGGTAGCTCCTGAACGGACAGCCCCCCACCCTCGGCCCGATTATACAGGCTCAGTAGGGGAAGGTAGGGCCAATCAGAGGGCAGGATGGGACCACTGAGCTCTGGGAGGAACTGAGATGTCATCCAAGGAGTTCGACCAAGGAGTGAGTTCCTGGATACTACCACAGCTGGTTCCAAATGGGCCAAGTGGGTGAGGAAGCAGGCTCGAATGGAGGGCAGCTGGACACAGGCCTCTCTGAGCAGAGAGCCTAGGGCCTGATTAGAACTGGGGCATTCCTGCTGGAGCCTGAGCTCCCCCAGATCAACTGCCTCTGGTCCTCCACTGTGGCCCTCCCTGCAGACAAAAAACAAATCAGTCAGACTGCTTGCGTCACTCTTACTGGAAATTAATTATACTTATTAGATTTGAAACTAAAGTTTATTATATTAAAGGCATTCCATCAAACAATACCTTACAAGTGTTACATGCAAACAATGAAGAAAGTACTGCACTCTTCAACTCTTACAACTGGATCAAAACTACATGAGAAATCCAAGCATAGCTTACGGTATAAAGGACTTGCTGAAGATGATGTTTGAGAGAAGATCATGAGCCATAAATTCACTTCCCGGTAAAATCCATGACAACAGAACTAGTGCCATCTGGTGGAAAAGTGGGGCTTGTTTGGCTACCTCTGGATCAACAGGAATCTGCACAAATAAAAATATTTGAACTCAAATGAAAAACAACATTGTAAACAGCTGTTTACCCTATCTGTCTGCACCAACATCAGAACTTGTGTCTTATACATGTATTCAACTAGACTAGGAGTCTTACAAGGTCACACTTGTCACTTAGGGAATAGTGGAGACTTGCAGAACACATGGAATTATTCTGTGTGTTTGGTCTATATTTTTAGATTTACTCTCTGTGTTTACAATGGCCATGCTGTTATCAAAGGTCTTTGCTTGGTAGCATTCAGAATCATACTTTTGCATAATCATTGGAAAATGCCAAAGCTGCAACTGTTAAAAGCTTATTTATTTTATGCTTTCCTTTTGATAAGAAAACAACAATTCAATTTGGATTAACAGCTATGGTGCCTTGGTTTTAGAGAAACAAGTAAATCTGACAAAAAAAAAAAAAACACCACCAAAAAAACAACAACACTCAAGTAATTCAGATTGTACTGTGGCTGACAGCAGTGGTAGAAGCGTACCAGCCTGTGGGCCAGTCGCAGCAGCAGGTACAGGAGATGGTGCTCATGACACAGGAGCCAGGCTTTAGAGATGGACAGGGCAGGGGTGGCCCGGGTAGTGCAGCAAAGGTACTCAAGAACAGGCTCAGAAAAAATACCTGAGAACTAAAGAAACACAATCATCATGAAAGACCAGACACAAAGGAATGGTTTGAGTAAATTACAAGGTTTTACAGTCATTGCCCTGCCTTTAATGTGAGGCCTTTGTGGATGGATGTGACTGTGTCCAGCAGAAGGGCCAGTCCTGTCAACAGAGGGAAAGGGGAAGTGGGAGAAGCCAGACCAGGAGTGTCCCGCCATCTGGGACAAGACAGACCAGGTAGACTTGCAGTGGTCTCAGCATGGCACTGGACAGTATTACACACCATTGAGAAAGACCTGTGGAAATATAATGAAGATCAACACAGATATAAAATATCACCATACCTGTAATGCAATGCGATTTGCCCACCTGAGATTCTTAATGAGGCTTTGAACCACACAATGGGACAGCAAAGAGATGAGCTCTGACGCCAGCCCCTCCAGTTCCTCTAGGGTGTGTACCGGATTGAAGCTCTTCTGTGAAGATGTGTTTGACTTTATATAGGTTAACATCTATAATACTATTTTATTTATGATTATGTTGCATCACATTATGTATTTTTTGTATTTTATAAATGTTCACTGTAAATTATTGCTCTACCTCTGAGTGTGCAACCTGTACCTGCAGAGAGAGTTGATGATAATAGGCCTGTAGGTAGATGAGATAAGCAGGGATAAGAGCAAGGCTGATCTCTCTCTGATTGTTACTATCAAGTCCTTTCACAAAGCTCTTTAAATGAGACATCAAGGTCTGCTGCAGTCCAGAGACATGCTCCCAGCAAATAGGGGGAGGAGGCAGGCACTCTTCACCACCACTACTACATACAGAGGTCAAAAGAATATTAACAATACTTTCAAAGTCAAGACGCACAGCCACAAACTGGTTTCTAACCTGAGCATAACAGCCTGCAGCTCCTGGTGGCATCCAGCTGTGTGAGTGATCTGAGTGAGCAAACAAATCAGGGCCAGCAGCCTCTGCAGTCGCTCCGGAAACAGAGGCTCTGACAAAGCTAGGGGCCCAGGAGACTGGAGGGATTTCAGGAGGGCTGGATACAGATCACTTAAGACGACAAAAGGATGCATATGTTTTTATAATTATATGAAACAACCATTCTTAAACACTTACCAGTATCTCTTAAATATGCACTCACAGGTATAGGTCGCAGGCCTGTCCATAGCGGGCTGCCACTGCCCACAGTCGGTAGGCCTCAGTGCAAAGCTTTATAGCTTCAGCCTCTCCCAGCAGCAGGTCACTGGGCTCAGCACTGAGCAGGCAGGAGAGGCGCTCCTTCACCCCATGAGAGTTAAACTGGAGCAAACACAGGCACAATCAGACTAATGTGAAACCTGAAGTCGAGAGAGGAGCACTCAGATTAAAACTACTTACGATTCTGGCGCAGAGATGTCTGCCAGCTGTGGACAGTACTCTAAGCAGCTTTAGCACAGTGATTTGAGGAAGTTCATACACAGACTTAGGAGGGGCTGAGGCTGGGGGCATCCAAGTGGCAGGCAGGAAGTCCCGCACAATCACCTGAATCAGACGAGGGCAGTCCAAAACCTGGCATAGCACACAATAAGTTATTTACAAAGGAGAAGAGAAATCACACACACATAGGTAATAATGTGCACAATGTTAGCATGTTTAAAGTGTAAAAAAGTCTTGATTCTTTTTTCTTTTGATCTGTAATCATGTTATGTAGCAGGTAGCACCTGAGTGGCAGAGGAAGTGGAGTGCCTTGCAAGCCGAATAATGATCTCCATTATGTAATGGATGACGTGAGCAGATGGACGAACAACCTCCAGAATGTATCGCAGTCGAGGAAGAAGTTTCATTTTTAGCAAACCCTTAACACAAAAACTCTAATCAGTCAGAAACATACACAAGGACAAGGGCCAGGAAGCACTGATGTACCTTAACAACATCGTGCCGCGCCACCTCATAATCACTCTTTTCATCCTGCTTTTCTTTGGTCTCTTTGAGTTGCTCATCGTCCTCTACCCCATCAGCAGATGGCAGCAGAGGAAATAGAGCCATGCCACTAAACCAACAGAAAACGCTGTCCATACATGCCTGAAAGAAGAAGATGGAAAAAAAAAAAGTCTTGGGCCTGATCAGTGTGGAGAACTGTAAGATTACAGTATATTTTGTAGTCAGCAAAGTGGAGAATGTTGGATATTCAGTGACACTCATGCAATGAATCTACACAAAACACAAACAACTTTAGTCTTCCACATAGATAGTGATCTTACTTTTGTTTTAATAATACTAAACAAAGATAAATGTCATATAGTAAGGCCTTGAACCAGAAATTGTTAGACAACGATGAACTTACTTCATCCTCAGCACACACGAGTAATGCGTGGAGAGCGTGCATGGCAGCACACATCACCCCCTCCACACTGTCGTCCAGAGAGAAGCGCAGCAGGAAGAGCAGGCCAGCATCGAGTAGAGAGGACAGCACAGAGCCCGTCAGGGAGGAGTGGTACCCACCACATCGGGCCTGGAGGAGAGTGTCCAGGATGGACATTTACAAATACAATACACATACTAGTGTACTAGGAAGTCCAGCAAACAAAGTTGGTTGGGTTTCAGCCAATCTCTACACATCGACCTAATGCTTTAATGAAGTATGTATCACGTATAAGAGAGATTACCTTAGAAATAATATTAGCCAGAGTGCTAAGAGCCAAAGTCCTCTGTTGGATTACTTGACTCCGAGAAAGGAGGAAGAGTTCCTGGAGAGAATACCCTGCTCGCTGGGAAGAAAAGAAGGGATTATTAGGGATTATTGTTGATTATTTAATACATTAATTAAAAGTGAGTTTTCTGCAATCAGAACTAGCAGCTCTGACCTCCGGTTCCTCTCCGTGGTGGTGCAGACCCAGGTGAGTGGGCAGGTCGTCAGTGGGCGGGATCAGAGTCCCTGCAAAGTCAAAGCGTGCCTGCATGGCCTGCCAAAACATACTACAGTTTTGAGTTCTCAATAGATAACAAAAAAGTACAAGAGTAGAAATTCATACTTTGTTGGTTTCTTTTTTTCTTGGTGGAGGCAAGTCTCTCATCCACTCCAGCTTCTCAGGCTCCAACTTGTCCATATGTACCCAGTTTTTGTCAGGCTTCACTGGCAGGTCTGCTTCTGCTTGTACATACAGTAACATATTGGCTGTGTGCTCATTGAGCTGAAACTAGCACAGGATGTTAAGATGACTGTAAAATTTGACAAAATATAAGTGCTGGTTATCAGACATGACTCCCTGTCAATTTAAATACATATGCATCCATTTATCTATATCTTCCCCATCAAGGGATTCCATTTTTGAAACCACTCAAACAGCATCGATCTACCAAGGAGAGGCACATTACCAGTGACAGGTTCTTGCTCTGGCTCCATCTCCACATCCACATGAGCACATGGCGACTGACCCAGAGCATCACGAGGAGGGGCACACTGGTCTTTTGGCAGATGGGGTGCTGGTGCAGAGGATGGAATGTTTCGGGCTTTGCATGATCTTACTAACTCTACCAGCCTTGGATCTAGGTACAGAGGACAACAGGAGGAGGGAAAATGCACCATATGTATAATTAAAACAAACAGAAATGAATACCACTGTGATTATTTCAATTATTATTCCATATTATTCAGATTAGTTTCTGCCAGTGCTGTGTGGGTATATATAACTTCGTACCAAGCTGAGACAGGAGCCTCTTTTGCTCATCCAGGATCTCTGACTCCGACATGCTCTGTAGTTTCTCTTGACTCTCTCTGTGGATTCTCATGATCTCCTCTGAGCCACCATGCACCCCAAGACCCTGCCCTGAAATCAGCCTGGGACCTGCCTCTCCAACTTGGTCTGTTGAAAACACGTTCACATGGCTGTTACAGAGAAGTTGCAAATGCACAAACAGAAGTATTATTTTAGAATATATTAACCTGTACCAATATTGCAGTCCATCAGTTCTTTCTTGGTTTGTGCCTGTGAAGTTAAACTTTGTGTTTTTCCCTCTTTAAGTCTTTGAGCAGTTATCTGACGTGCAAAGATGCTCTTTTTACAACCAGGACCTGAAGCTTCTGGCATCTGTCAGATTCATTCACACAAACTCAGCTTCAATAAAACTTTTACTTTTTTTGTTTTAGTATTTTAGAAAATAAATTAGTTTTACCTCACAATATTGAGAGCGGTGGAGTACTTTAGGAAAAGCCATGCCAGTGAACTCTGGTAGTGACACAGGAACAGAGCTGGTATCCTTTTCCTTAATGAATAATATTGTTTTCAAGACAACAAACTAACAAACAACAAACAAATAAATATGTTTTCTATTTACAATTATTCTAGATAGGACAGCAGTGATGTGAGTGTCATGTGTGTCCAGTTGCTCCTCTGCATCCACATGCTCAAAGGTCACACGGCGGGACTTGAACCTGGACTTCTTTGGCGGTGCTGGGGTTAGCGAGGGCACTTCATCTGGTAGATCTACAAAAGACACATATTGAGTAATTCAGATATATTACATAAAAGAGTGCATGTATTCCTGAGTTAATATCATACTACTGACAATTACTAGGGTCTGTGTTTTTCTAAATAACCACCACTTCTCAGCACATTAACACTAAATTATTGGGGTTAGTTTCAGTATAACTACAAGCATTTTCTATTGTGGAAAAGTACAAATACTGAACATGAGAACAATAAGAGCTGCATGATAGACCTTCTATAGTCACGACATCCCTTTGCCCATCTCCAGTCTCCTGTGGCACCTCCGTTGCTCCACTCTGCGGTCTTCTTTTGTCCGGCCGGCGGACCACAGTCGCAGCCGCCTGGGCTCCAGAGCTCAGGAACCTCTCCTGTTCCCTCAACAAGTCCGCCTCCGAGTCTGTAGGCTGGGGACGCCGTAGCATCCTTCACATCACATAACACAGTATCCCAGTTATGCCAACAAGATGCGCACATGTGCTCCTATCTAAACTTGGTCCTAAGTTTTTCAAACCTTGGAGAAGAAGGGACTCGTTTCACAGGAACAGCATGTGAGTTTACATCAGTAAACAACTAACATGAACTTATTGATAGAGTTGCGCCAATGTATCTACATCTCAAATTGCAACCCAAACATTAAAAAAACTACTAAAAAATTTGACAATTTACTTTTCAAGAGGCACATCTATGACTTTCGTGCTTGGATGTTGCTCTCCATGCCATGCATGTACTGTCTGCACCGATAACCATGGGGAACTCTTTTTATGTAGCACAAGCAACTACTCAGTTCCGTTTTCAAAATAAAACTACACCTTCCAGCCAGCATCCTGCACGTTATGATCCTACACGAGGATGCCTATTTTTGCTACTTGCATCATTCTAAAACACTTCATTCGTTCATTCTTCATTATTATGATTTACTATTGACCGTGTAAACAGCAATGAATGTTGCACATTGCATTTTTCTGACTGGACAGCGCTACTCTTTCGACCATCTTTGCACAGGCTTTCCGAGGCTCAAGACGCTGAAGTGACAGTATATCACGCCGTGACAAGGTTGCTATTACAATTGATTGGCTGCACCATGGTGAACCTCTGCTGCCTCTGCTGCGGTGAAATCCCCCAACCCCGCCCCCCGCGGTGCAGCAGCCCGACGGGAGGACCAGCACCGCCGCGGGACTCCCAGCAGCATCAGCACCACGGAGGCTCCATCTCCGACGTGCAGCGCTCCAAGGAGGCACAGACAGGCGGAAGTAACGCAGCTACAGCAAAGCCAATGAGCAAAACTTCTTAATCTATTCCCGGACATGCAAAGAGCACAGTATGAGCTCCCAAAATCCGGAGAGTGAAGAAGCAACCGCGGCCACTGCTCCAAGTGAAGATGGGACAGGGGGAAGACAAGAGTTGACAGGCACAAGTGATGTCCCGGAGGAGGTAAGGCGGTTACAGATTTTTTTGTTTTACTCAATAATACAATAATTTAAATAGGAAACTACCCCAAAGCCTTTTCGTAATGTTTGAGTAATTAATTTGTGTCAAAACTAAAATAGCCGACATTTAGGCTACATTACATTTAAAGAAACTAAAATGTAGTTAAAACAAATGAATCCCAGTTAGTAGTCAAAAGCCTGAGAAGTGTCATAAAGGCCATTAAAGATGGCATCAGTGTGTTTCAATGCATTCTACTTTTACTTTTAAATCCTAACCCGATCATTCTGTTGTTGGGAAGAGGTTAGTCAAGGTCGCATGGGAAAAATATGTAGAAAGGCTTTTGCAAAACTCAGTATAGAATGCGACATGAATCGTAATAAATTTTACAATCTAACCAGTAAAATAATACTTACTTAAAATATCAGAGAAGCAAATTGTGACAGTATCTTTAAATGGGAAGTAGGAACTGACCTCCTCAGTTCAGTGGCACTCTGGCATAAATCAACTAAATATGTCACTTTTCCAGGAAGAAAAACATCAACCTCTATTTTTGTCTTACTTACATACCATTGCCTTGTACTTCAGTGAGAACAAAACCTATTATGATGTTGGTTTAAGCTATCAAAGATTTTCAAGGTATTATTGCAAGTTATCTTGCTTGTAATATAGTTTGGCAAATGTGTCCCTGAATGTCTTCTTGAGTTCAGGTTACTTAATGCTTGCCTATGGAAAAGCTTTCTGCCACAGTTGCTAGTATTGCGTCTGTGAGTGGATAGGTTCATTGCTCTAAGTGCCTCTGTTGTTCTTTTTACAGCAGCGTCCGGAGCAGCAGTCTTTGGGAGCGTGCATGTGCCGGGAGGCCCACTGGCGCTGCTTGATCCTCTCTCTATTAATGTACACCTGCCTGGGCACAGTGGCCTGGTGTCGACTCACTACTGTCACCAAGATCAGTTTCAAGTCTTCCTTCAGCCCTCCTCTCACTGCTCCTCTGTCCTCACCTCTGCGGGGCCTTTCTGGGGTGGGCTTTGGGGGCCACTCCATGATCTACCATGACAGCCCCTGCTCTGACGGCTACATTTACATCCCTCTGGCATTCCTTGTGATGCTCTATGTGCTGTACATGGTGGAATGTTGGCACTGTCAAGCCAGAAGTGAGCTGCAGCGTAAGGCAGACATTGACAGCGTCTATGAGCGTGTGCTAAAAATGCGACAAGCCCAGCCCTGCATTTGGTGGAAAGCCATTAGTTACCACTTTGTCCGCCGGACCCGGCAGGTGACTAGATATCGAAGTGGAGACGCTTACATCTCTACTCAGGTGTACCACGAAAGAGTGAACACCCATCTGGCCGAGGGGGAGTTTGACTACAGCCGATGTGGTGTGAAGGATGTTTCTCGTGAACTCAAGGGTTTGGAGGCCCATGCAGCCACAAGACTCAGATTTACTAAGTGTTTCAGCTTTACTGAGACAGGCCCCGAAAATGATTATTTAAACCAGAGAGCACAGTTCTTTTCTGAAGTGGAGGGTTTGGATGACTATATGGAGGCCAGGGAGGGTATGCAGCTGAAGAATGTGGAGTTTAGAGAGAACATAATGGTCTATGTGGACCCTGATAAGATGCCATGGTACAGTTCACAGATTGCATTCTGGCTTGCAGCTTTCCTCATGTTGTCTTGGCCACTTCGAGTACTCAGTGAATATCGCACTGCATTTGTGCACTACAGAATAGAAAAACTGTTTGGCTTGGAGTACATCCCAGGTACACCCTCTAGCCAACAAAATGACCAGCTAATTGAAAATCGTACTGGCTGTGTCATTCCTAGAGTGGACACGTTAGATAGCACAGAGATGGAGGTGCACATACGTTGTAATAGACAAGTCATTCCAAGCTATTCTGAGGCCATGCTAATAAACACAAGCACCACTGATTCCATCTCTCTTCAGGACACAGACTACACCTCCTCCTCAGACTGCCTCCTGTTAGATCGCAGTCAAACTCCGCTCAGTTACGGTGCAGTGCTCACGCCAGATATTTGCGAGCAAAGCAGCGGACCTACCCAACAAGAAGGGAGACAAAGAAGAAGTACCATCACAAGCAGCTGTTCCTCTGTCTTGTCATGTCGTGGGACACTGTACCTTTCACATCCATCCTCAGACACCTCACGCTTCTCTCTTTGCCGCATGTATGGCTCCCAGCGCACCTTGGGCTTTTGGAGGAGCCGCAGCAGCAGCCTCAGTGAACCCTGGTGTGAGCAGTCATGCCAGCCAGGCACCAGTGTCAGCCCCCCCGCGTACAGAGACGCACATTTCTTCCCTGTTCTGATAGTGCAGCATCCAGAGGGCAGAGGTGGTGAGAGTGGACATGAGGGGAGGAGCTGTTGTTTACGTAGGGGCTCATGTGTGGAGACAGCACTGTGACAATTATAAGAAAAAAATCACACTGCACTGTAAACTGAAAAATCAATGCATGCTAGTTTAAATCAAATACCCTTTTTCTCTACAATGGAGTACATATTTGAGTGAAAGGGCTAATGCACTTCCATAGATCCATTCCTGGGTCTACTCATGTCATCAGGCCTGTCAGTGTTTACCATAGATTGTATGGGGTTTACACTATGTATTTTTTTTATGTATTATTATTATTATTATTATTATTTATTAATTTTTTAAAGGAAGCCATTTAATCCCATAACTGCATGCTGTTGGAAATTGAATCGAATGCAAATTGAGAAGCTAATAAATAGAGGTCTTGATATCTTAACTACCATGTTGGGTATTATTTTGTTAATGGATATTTGGTATGAATAAATATAAATATACTTATAAATGTACTCGTATGTTGCTTAATAAATTGCATGTTCAAATTCAAATCATAATTGTAAAACATTACAGCAATTGAATGACAAAAACAAAACAAAAAACAAACCAAAAAAACAACAACAAAAACAATCTTGAGTACGCGCACATTTTATTTGACATTTCCCTCCCTCTGTGACGTCACTTCCTGCGCGCGAGAGCCGCTAACTGGCTGCTAACTTCTGTTCGGAACCGAGATAAAAAAAAAACTCAACTTAATCTGAAGGATTGGTTTGTCCGGATGATTTAATTTACGATTCATTGTCCTGTGCTCTTTGCCGGGTTCCCTTTCTGTGAGGTTGAGAGATTTCTGAAGCAGTTCTCACGCTGTTTGGAGCAAAGGGTGCTCTTGTTGACATCCATGGCAGCAGATACAGCTCCATCTGTTCCAAGTGGGAAACACGGACGCTTCTTTAAATGATCCCTGTAATCTCTGCACATTCGGCAGTGACAGCAGGACTAATACTACCACTGTGCACTGTTTGGGCAAAATGAAACTACAGTGCGATGTCGAAGTACTGAACCGTCAGCTCCCCACGTACGGGATGAAAGGTCGTGGAAAGGGGACGAGAGCTGTTCTGTCCATCGGGAAACACCTGGACAAAACAAGTCAACGCAGCAACGTGTATATGCTGATCTGTACCGCCAAGGACCGAGCGGGATCCAAGTACAAGGTCCGTATGCTCCGGTCCCCTTGCGAAAGCCGCTCCTAACCGTTCTCTAACTGCGGAAGTGGCCCTATCCGAGCCATTTATAATCACAGCACTGGGTCTCAAACTGCGGGCTTCCTCCCACTCAGAGCCATCTGCTCCTCTGCTCTTTGTACCTGTTATCTTGGCTACAGTTGTATTTATGCTTCAGTTTATGCTTTAAAGCTGGCCTTCTGTATGTGACATTTTTACCCATCTGTGTCCCCAGATACGAGGTACACATGTTCAAGTTAAACATAGCGCCTACTGATAACAACTGCTGATTTTATTCTTAATTACAGAAACATTGGTTCTCACGATGAATGTCCAGTCAGAAAGGAGAATGAGCCTCACGTGATTCTCATTTAGGTTGCCAGTGTCAATGCTGAAATCCTAATCCTTAAACCTCTCTCTGATCTGAATCCTCACTACATAACCCAGGTTCAACTGAGGTTACACTACCTGTTTAAAAAGAGCACAGGCTACAAACATATCATATCATATATCATGAATCATACAGGAAATGAGCCGCACTTTTGTACAATAACACAGGAGTCAGCTGTGAATAGTCAGTAAATGCTAAAATGCCTTTACTGCTGATTAGTGATTACACAACTCTGATGTCATTTTTTAAATTTACCAGCATAAGCATTTAACTTTAAAGTTGCAGTGTTCCTCTCAGGACAGCAATGTTGTGATTAATCAATTTCCCGTGGATGTTGCCATCAATTTTCTGTTGCAGCTCAAAGACAACATTGAAAAGTTCTTCACATGGTTTGTGGAAGAAGGTAAAGCTACTGTCCGATTAAAAGAGCCAACAGTTGACATCTGTTTGAGCAAGGTACTTCCTTCTACTTTCTCTGTTCTCGTGTTGTTGACAACTGTCAGGTTGTGCTGTCGTCTAGTACTTACTTTAAATGACTTATTGTCAGTGAGGTAGCCACTGACCTGCCTTTTGAAATAAGATTTATATAGTAATTAATTAATGAGGCATTTAATTTATATAACACCTTACAAGATACCCAAAGCACTTTACAGTGCATTCACAGTGGTGGTAAATTACCCTGGTAGCTACAGTTGCCCTGGGGCAGACCATTCTGTGCCACTGGCCCCTCCAACCACCACCCACACACACCACACTAGGCAATGTGGGTGAAATGTCTTGTTTAAGGACTCAACAACAGTTTTTGCCACTGGAGCCCCACTATGGCACCTGGTATTCCCAGTGATCTCCCATCCAAGTACTCATCAGGCCCCCCCCCCCCCCCCCGTTTAGCCTCTAAGATTTGATGAGATCAGTCTTTGACCTTTGACCCATCACTAAGGCAGAGGGCACTTCTATCTACTATTCATTGCTGATTTAAAAATATGCTGTTATAATAAAAATCAACTACAAGTTTTTAAAACTGGGAGTCTGGGAGTCCCTGCTTAGGCTGCTGCCCCGCCCGGCCCCGGATAAGCGGACGAAAATGGATGGATGGATGGAAGTTTTTAAAACATGTATGTGTTCTAGGCAGATCCAAACAGCCTGAAGAACTTCCTGTCTGCAGCGCGGTTGGCAGACAGGGGGAGTGAGACCAGCAGCCTACCTCTGTCCACACTCACTCCTGTTCGGGCTCGAGATGTGGAGCAGCCCAAGAAGAAGCTCTCCATCCTCTCAAAGAAGGACTACCCTCTGACCTCCAACTTCCCGTACTCTCTGGAGCAGTTGCAGGTGTCCTGGTGCAAACTCACACGAATCGACATGCGCATGCTCTCCCTGAAAGGTCAGTCCCATATGGACAGTGTTGGGAAATACTACATGAACCAAAAATATAAAATATGTATTACCTCTGTCCCTTAATCGTGCAATTTAAGCTTCAAACTATAACAGGCAGTGCAATAAATATGTATTTACACTATAATATATTGCAACCTGTTTATCAGTTAATATCAGATGTGCTGCATTTAAAATAATATGAACCACACATTGTTCAATATTGTGGAAAAGCTACTTGTTAACCATCACTGTAGTCATTCAATTGTGTTAATAATAGCAAGTTCTTCATGTTAGCTGTTGTTAGTAGTTAGTACAAATAATATTGCGATTATATTATTTGTAATTGATTAATGAATGTATTATTACCACAGTCTGATTGCGTCACTGTTTGTGTTTGTGTAGCTCTGCGTGTCCTGGACCTTAGCAGTAATCACATAAAGAAGCTGCCAGCGACTATTGGAGACCTGAGCTGCCTGTCACAACTGAACCTCCGGAACAACCACCTGGAGTCATTCAGTGAGGCTCTGTGTTTGTCCACGCTCCAGAAGACTCTGCAGTCCCTAGACTTATCCCACAACCGCCTGCGGTCCCTCCCCCCAGCGTTCTGTCAGCTTCGAGAACTGGTCACCGTCAAAGTGGACGACAACCAGCTGGTCTGTTTGCCCTTCCACATCGGCCGCCTGTCCAAGCTCCGTTTTCTGTCTGCAGCCCACAACCAACTGTCTGTGCTGCCCATGGACTTCAGGAAGCTCAGCTTGGAGAATCTGGACCTGTTTGGGAACCCCTTTATCCAGCCTAATCCTCTGGACCATACCATCAAACTCACTTTCCCTCTTCCTCTACAGGAGATTGCTTCTAGGGCTGTTGCAAACCAGAGGTCAGAACTCTCTAGCTCTTATATATACTTCTTTGTTAGCATCTTTATGCAATATCAACACTGTTTCTACTACTGTTGTCATGATACTAACATTTCAAACTCGATTTCCATAGATATAACAAGCATAGACTTGATACCAATTCAATACTACAATGATAATTAAAAACATAAATAAAAAACATAGTCTTTAGATAGTAGAACATTTAATAATACTACTCTTTTCATATATTACCGTGCAGTCATATATCTGTGTAATCCTTGTCACCCAGTTAAGGTTTCATATCGGTCCATGGGCGTATACGAGTTTCTGTGCTGTTATACTTGCCCTGATACAGCTCAAGATCATTCTAAAGCTATTCAGGAAAGGTTCATTTCTATCCTGTGAATATGACGTTTTTGACGTTTCGATACTAGATTTAGTTTTCTAGTTTTAATATTGATTAGTATCTGATTTCTGTTCTCTTTCCTTCTTTGTAGATTTTATGATATTATATGATACTTAAAAAAATCTCATCCTGGTGAAGATTTTGTCCAAGTTAAATTACTATAAAGACAGTGTGCTAAACAAATGCTCAAATTAGTTATGATGTTAAAATGTTTAACAAATCAAAATTTATTATCAGGCATTTCTGTATGTTTCAAAGTAATGGTTATCTCATGTCCAGTGTGTTCATTTACATTGAGAGGTTAGAATTTGAATCCTAAATTGTTTGTCCTTTTTCTCTGACAGGATAATATTTGGCCCTCAGCTCATCCCTGCTCATCTGTGTCGGGACCTGGAGGTGGCAAAGACCTGCTGCTGTGGGCAAGTGTGTATCAGACAGTACATCCAGAGCAGCGTAAGCATGAACCTGCACCAGGTGTCCCACACAGTGGTGTTAGTGGACGACATGGGGGGCACCGATGCCCCGGTCCAGCAGTACTTCTGCTCACTCACCTGCTACTCCCACTTCTTAGACAACTCTCTCCAGAGAGCAGCCAGATAAGAGCTTCACTTTGACAGTGAAGGTGTAAGACTCGATTTTTACAATACTATCAGTTCAACTTACAGGAACCCTCAACTGTTTTCCAGAACATAACCTGCCAAACATCCCCAAAGCTGCTGCAGAGTACTTTACAACTTTATTTGTCAGATACTTTCACTATAGCACAAAAGCATGGTATCTTCATTCAGTCTTTTTAATCAGCAGGCTTTAAATACCCTTCACTGCATCTCTGCAAGGGTAAAGTTGAGTGGACTGTTGTAACTTTTATATGTTTAAGCATTTAATAAACTGAGAGTATTCTAACCCTGTCCCTGAGTGACATTTCACCATTATGTAAAGGAGTTTGTGTAGTGCAAGGAATAGGAGAAAGCTTTCACTTAAGCAGATGTCAGATAAATGGCAAGTGTTTTTAATAAGTCATGAAAATAATACATCGCTTTCTAATTTGAACATTTCATATTTAAAATTTGCTTCTGTAGCCCGTTAAACGTGTGCCATGCGTATCGCCTCAGCTCAGTCCAGCTCGAACAAGAGGGAGTTTTGGAAGCTGAAGCCCGCAGTGGTCACATGATCACTGATGACCTGCTCTAAGCCGTCCTCTTTTACCTCCCGCAACAAAACCGGGGGAACACTTGTATTTTCAAAGTCCCTCTCTGGTTTCAGAAGATCTTCATCCACCTCCTCTGCAGCTGTAACAGTCTCTGAGGCTCCAGGTAGATCCTCCAGTGCCTAACAAATAATACAGAAAGATGAAATTAATTTCCAGGGACAGATAGAATAATGAGAAACTCCATTTTATTTACCTTTCTTAACTGATCTGTTTCTGTTTTGATTAAATCTTTTGATTCTAACCCTGCCTCTTTATCTTGTATTTGATATGTTTCTTCCTTCTCTGCTTCCTTCTCCACACAGGTTTGGACTATGCGTGTTGTCTCGTGTTCTTTATGGCCCTTCTCATGAGTAACTCCCTTATGCTCCTCTGTCATATTTCCATCTTGATGCTTCACACACAGCCTCAGTTCAGTTCTGTCCTGATGTTGACTGACTTCTATACCCTCTTCCTCTCTTTCACACATGCCACCAGCCTCCTCTGCAGCAGAGTTTTCTGGTGATTCTACTGCCCTCCTCTCAGTACAATGCCCCGTGTCATTCTGTTCTATTTCACTTCCTTTCTTAAATGCACCATCAGAATCCTGTATATCATTATCAGACTGCTGAGGATTGCTGCTTATATGTAACCCGTCTTCTGGAGGCTGTACCGGGAGTGTGATCACCAGCTGCCTTGTCTGTTTGTTGAACTTGGCTGCTCCTCTGTCCTCATCTACAGCATAGGCTAAAGACAGCTCTAGTTTGTAGACAGGATCATGTGACTCCAGCAGAAGACTTTTTTCTTTGACCTCAAGAGTGATGGCTGCTACTGATTTGAGAAGTGGTAGCTCAACAGTTAAAATAATCTCTTTGGGCCTGGAGCTCTGGTTGGAATCTCTAGTGCACCTGAAGTCTTGGATATCGATGAATGAGCGGTATTTGAGTGTGTAGAGAGGCTGCGTTTGCTCCTGGGTATTGGCAAAATTTTTGGAGTGACTTTTACCATTCTTTGGCTCTTCTTTTTTGGAAACAGCGGCTTTATTATTAGGATATGGAAAAGCCAGAGGATCAGGATCATTTGGGGTATCTTTTGCTTTAAATCCAGGTATAGGTTTTCGAATGACACAAGCCTGTGGGTTCCCTTTATATTTTGTACTCATGGTTTTAATGTTCTTTTTATCTAGACACACATTAAATCCATCCTGAATACCCTGAATTGCAGCATTTGTCACCATATCCATAAATCTACTGTTTGTACTGGCCATGTGAAGAGTGTCTGGATGAAAAATGACATCATAAATAAGGATTTTGTTCCCTTTTGTATTCAGCTCTTTCCTCTCTGGGTGAAGGCTGTACGGAAGAGACCAATGATGCCCACTTTTTCCATCTTCAGACTGCCCGCTTTTACATGAAGGCTTTCCGATTTTGTCATTGGCACAAACATTAACGTAGCACTTGTTTTGCCCATTAACGCTGGTCCTGATGCACTTGAAAGGAGTCGGGTGAATGAATTGGACGCTGTTGCCTCGCTCCTTCTCCAGGATGCCTATCTCTTTTTCGTATTTTTTTCTATTTTCGGGGTCGGATATCTCCTCGGCGTAGTCCCGCAGCATTTTTCTGAAGTTCTCATCTTTAAAAGCCTTTGTGAACCTTCCTATTTCTTCTTCCGTCAAATTTAGTTCCGAGAGTTTATCTTTGTGCTCCATGTCCGTTTTATATGTGGTAATAATCCGAGATATATAAATGTGGTGAAGAAGACAGAACAAAATGAGCCCAGTGACGCTAGTGTTAAACAAGAGGAAAACTTCAGATGCGTGTTGACATTACCATGGCAACGAAAGTCGGTGTAACAGTCAAATATTACCCCCCAAAACAGTGGCCACAGAAACGACAAAATGCCGCTAAAAGCATCACCAAGTCATATATATAAATATTTTAATAATGCTACCAGCCTTACATATGCGCCTTTACAATTCTGCCGGATTCGAACACGGCCTCTTTTTGACCTTTAAAGACGTTTGTTGCGCCTGTTCTCCAGCAGGTGGCGTTGGACTCCGCCGTTTGCAGTAGAGGCTCGGGGTGAACAGAGCGAGGCGAGGCCGCTGTGAGTCCGTGGATGTCGGTCAGTAAGGCAAAGGGGTGGGTCCAAAGGCGAGGGAGCTCATTGGGCGCGCCCCTAACTGTTCATATTTCGCACACTCTGATTGGTTATAACGCACTGTTACTAGGTGTGAGGCCATTTACAGTGTGTGTATGGCATGCACCCAGGCAGAGGTCACAAACAGCCCCTCTACTGGAAATTATGCATTATGCAAGCCTTTTCGAATTTTTCAGAACTTTCATAATATGGAAAGTTTAAGGAACCTTTGCTTTCTTTATTCAATCATGCCCAAGATAATATCTCCAAGATATTATAGTCTATATTAATCCAGAAGATTTGCACACACCCCAGGTGAATGTATCATCTGGACCAAAAAAATATACCTGTTGTCATCCTCCAACTCACTGTGCATTCTGTCTGACTGCGCTCATGCCATATTAGGTGTTATAAAAGCACTTTTTGAGTGGCGGTCTGGTGACTAAAGTGAGTGGGACAACAGGAACTTGAAGCACCCACAGCACAGACCACTCAGCAGTTGTGCTCATACCGTTTAGAGGAAGCTGCGCGCCATGACGCATGGTGATTTGAGCATACCGCACAAACTTACTACATGGGTGAAAAGAGTCATCCTTCAGCCTATCAGAATTTTGATGATAGTTTAAAGACAACAATGAAACAAGTCACTTTCCTCAGCATTTTTATTACAAATATTTAAGTATTAAATATGAAAAGTTAGACATGAAGGTTTAATTAAAGTAATGATTAATATAGATTATAAATTTTCTGTTGGTGTTACATTTTCCCAAAGGTGACAAATAAATGCTTTTTATAGTTTAATAAACTATACATTCACATATACATTTAATACACAAATTAGACACAAGTGTAGAGGGTGAAATGTGTAAGATACTCTTCATACAAAGGCTTTGGCAATGTGCATTCATTTTCAGGTTTTATAAAGTAAACAAATATCCATGTACAAATGAGCAGTAAAGAATGTCTTTCCAGTGCATGTTTTTATATATTCCCATGAATAGAATAGTGGCAGCCGTCTGTGCTTGGCTGCTCCCTGTGATTCTGAAGAACAGAAACTGTAGCATGGCATTTTTCTAGTCTATTTGGAGCCAGCAGGTACCAGCATGCTGAGGGTGGCCAGGCCTGGTTTGGAGGCTGTTTTACCCACAGCCATCTTGTTGAGGCTCCTGACATCAGCCTGCCAAGAGGGAATCTTCTTGGTGGTCATGTGACGTCGGGCATGTTTGGTGAGGTGGTCGCTGCGCATGAACTTGCGCTCACAGACAGGACACACAAACTTCTTCTCCCCGGTGTGAGTCCTACGGTGACGGGACAGTTCATCAGAGCGAGCAAACCTCTTATCGCAGCCATCCCAACTACAACTGAAGGGCTTCTCTCCTGGGGAAAGAGCAAGCACATTACAAGTGTGAACCCACAGGCATTACAGCAACCTTCTCCAAACTGTACATTCAAATACTTTGCAAAGTATTTGGTACTAAGGATACATACCTGTGTGCGTGCGGAGGTGGGCCTTGAGGTGAGAGCTCTTGAAGTATGTTTTCCTGCAGCCAGGGAAGTTGCACACATAGTTTCTTCTGCGAGAAAAGTCCATTTTTGTGGTGGTGGCCCCAGGCCCTGCTGGGACGTACACAGGAGCCGGAGCCAGAGGTAGCAGCTTGGTGTTGCCCAGGGTCATGACAGTCTGAGGGCAGTGGGGGGTTTGTGGGACACTGGGCTGGGGCAATACCAGCATTACTGTCCCCTGAGGTACTGATGAGCCCACCAGAAGTGACGGGACAGGGGAAGAGCTGCTCCCAGAGGAAGGCTGGTGCACAGTGGATGTGGAGCAGCCAGAGGAGGGTCGCAGAGGAGATGAAGTCTGCACTGCACTGGGGATGAATGCTGAGATGATGCCTGATTGGTTACTGACGGGAAACATCTGGCAGATGATTTGGGGGCTGGAAACGGGAGGAGGAGACAACGTGGGAGGGGCACAGGGTGTGTTATGTGTAACATTGTCCAAAGATGGTTTTGAGGAAGTTTGTGCTGTAGGGGAGGGAGCACAGGGGTTGTTTATGGTCACAGTCTTTTGCTGTTGATTCTGCCACACGCCTGGACTGACAGGAGACTCTGAGCTGGGTGCTGTAGGAACGTGGTAGGGGCTGCTGTCTGCAGTATGTCTGATGACGCTGGTGGCCATGGCTTTGCAAGGCTGCGGTGGCCGGAGCCCAGATGGGGGCTTTTCTGTGATATGGGCCAGAACTGTGGAACATCGCTGACTAGAACCTGAGGTTGAAGAGTCCACAAAGCTTGGGCTGTGTGGAGGAGTCATGCACTGGGAAAAAGAGTAACAACAGGAATCAGTTAAATATGAGTAGAATTTCAAATTGTAAAAAGTTATGTAAAGCTTTTATTTTAATTAATAATTAATCTAATTAATTTCAAATGTCTCACCAGGGAAGAGAGGGATACAAAATCCTTGGGAGACTCTGACATCTCTGGGGGCAGCAAGGAGTCGCAGGAGTCGGACGCGGGTGTGAGGGGTCGTGGTTTCCGCAGCAGGGGTGCATGGCCCCATGAGCTCATGCACACAAGGGCCTCTGCGGCCTCCAGGTCTGTGTACTCCAACCCAGTGCCTGCCCCGCACTGCTCACTGTCATGTCTCCTGCGCTTTGGCTGGGGCCCGCAGTTTTCTATACACACTGTCTGAAAACATAAACGAAGCAAACATTAGGCTTGGTTGCAAGCAATTATGAGAGATGCATAGTTAGTGTTGCATCTTTTTTACACTATGATAACGTCAAAGTTTTTTTCTTTGCACCACCTTCAATTATTATCATCATTTACTGGTTTTATGTTGTTGTACTTCAGACTTGCCTGTATTCATGTCCATCGTTTCTTTTATTTTAAACAACTGCAAATGCAATGTTTAGGGCACATATTACTGGAAATTGCCTAGAGCCTGTTTCAGTTTCAAAATAATAATGTTGTTTATTCAAGCAAACAAACTCAAATTCTTTGGTAAATTATCTAATATGGATTTCCAGTGGGGGCAGTAGCAAGCAGGGGTGTGGGACTACACCCCCGGTGCACCGTGCACTCACTGCCTTTGGCTAGAGGCCAGGACACCTCCCATCTCCAAATATAGACCACAGAGTGACGTGCTGCTGAGATGAGCCATGTGAAATCCCCATAAAGCGGGTTTGCACCAGGAAGTAGCCTCCTTACAACTATAATAATATAGTGTAACTCACTATTCTTGATATACGTAGTAAGGAACTAATAATTAGAATCATATCTAATTATTGTATTCATAAATACACAAACATGCATGTTGTGAAATTGTGTTGATGCCTTGAGAGAAAAAAACATGATTTTTGTTTTAATTATAGTCGCCAAGTATTTGAATGTGTTCACGTAAAATTAATGTAAAATTAAAATAAAATTATCAATTTGATTTAAAAGCAATGACATATCACATCTCCATATGAGTAAACAACCAGAAGCCAATAACGGTCTACCACAAGACAAAAGGTTAGTTAGGTAACGCTAAAACAATAGTGAAGCTTTGTCCTTACCCCCTCTGAGTCCATTTCAGTGAAATTTCGCGATGCCATGAAGAAACGAAGAGTGTAAATATAACTAAAGTGTTGTCAAAGCCCGTCCAGAACAAAGAGCCAGCGGTGGCCAGTGCCGCTGCCTGCTCTCGGCTGGAGATGGAGGCGATTTTTTCTCTGACTGGCTCCCCTTTCTCTCAGCTGTGTGTGTAAAACATGGGGAGGAGAAAAAAAGAAAAACAAAACTCACAACACGCACTGGAGGGTGGCAACACTCCGCCAATCAGAGGCGAGTGTGTGCGGGGCGGCGGCCAATCCCCGCGCTTTGTCCGCGTGAACAGCGCGTGCTCGCGGGGCGGTTGGAGGAAACGGGGTGCGTGGCTGATGCGGGGCGGGTCTTCAGGAGTCAGCCGTGTCAGAGTAAACCCGATGAACTGCCGCCCGCTAAACTAGGCAAAAGGTCGATCCAGTCTATGCGGCGTTCACGGAACATCAGAGAGAGCGCTGTTCCCCGCACACACTCTTCTACTTTCTTCCACCGTAGCTTCACGTGTTACAGCTGAGCATTCAGACACATAGAAAATGAACACTGTTGATGCTACAACCGGAGAAATATAGCCAAAAGACAGATGTAAAAAAGTAAGCAATTATTTTCTGCAATCTCAAAGGCCTACTAACGAAAAAAATATAATTTTAAATACTATGTGTTTATTATATTAGACTACATGTGGACCTATTTATAATAAACAATTCATATTTTTGTTTTCACCTCAACCGTTAAACAAAATGCATTGTGTGTGCAAGTTTAAATTTTTTTCTTAAATGCAGTGAACGCATCAGTTGAGTGAGTTTGAGAGCACGTCTGAAGTTTTTGACTTGTTTGCGTTGCCGAGGCTTACAGTTAATCATAAAGTTACATTTATGAACTATGTTATTTATTTTTGTAATGTCACACTGACCTTATCTGATATTTCAGATTAAAGTGATGGCTTTCTTCCCTCCAAACCCTTGAGTCTTTCCTTATATGAGCGGCCTTGTATAACTGGCTGACCTACAAAATGTTCATGATCTCATCTTTAGGTTGTTATTCCGTCCCTGGGTGTCGCCTCTTTAGAGCAGTAACTGGGTGGGGCTTGCATCTCCCCTCTTCATGCAGCCTACACTTTTGGCAGAAATTATTTGAATGTTTCCTCTGCACAAAGATTTTGCTCATGAGGTCAAAGAAGCTATAGGCCCACTGCTTTCCCACACGGCTACTTAACTACAGAGATAAGTATATGCACTGAAGAAATACTATTGTGTATGTGATCAATTTTTCAATAAACATAATAGTGCAGATGCCCAATAACATCCATATGCTTAGGGTACAATGTAATCCAAACTGCAAAGAGTGTATTTAGATACATAATAAATGCAGTGCCCAAACAAAGTCCAGAAAGATGCTTTCATTTTTCTCACATCCGCTAGTCACTGTGCTTATCTGGACTGTCTCCAGATACTGTGGCTTCCTCCCAGTCCCCAGATGATCGACAGGTGAAATGGTGACTCTAAATTGGTCTAGTAAAATGCCCATGGAAAGTCACTGGCTGACACTTGTGCCAATAATGCACCGAGATGCCACAGGTGTGTCTGAAGTGAACAGTTCCATGTAACCAGCCTGCCTCTCTGTGACCTCATTGGTCCTGGGCCCCAGGAGCCAGTTGATTCTATGAACTGTAGGGCGGTGCTGTTAGGAAAAGCAGTTGAGGCCTGGCAGGTTGGCTCAGCAGCTGCCTGTTTGTCACAGAAGTGGGCCAGTCAGGGAATCTGGAGGAAAGGTTACAGGCTGACGTGGGCCTCAGCACCTCCCCAGGCAGGACAACACCCCAACTCTATGCTCCACCATGGGACACTCCAAAAGGGGTGGGTTAAATATACCAGCCATAGGCTGCATTTCAGGGCCTGCGGCAGGCTTTGTCAGCACATACATCCACTGTCATGTCCACAGTGTTACTTCCACATGACAAGCTTCCAGTGTATTTTAGAGAGGAACAGTTCTGAGCACCAACATTAAGCATGAACTTTAGAAGATCTCCTGTCACCTGTTTCAACAGCACTGTGGTGAACAAAACAAGATTGTGATTGGATGCTGTTCAGACATTTAAGTTGATGTATGCACATTAAAGGCAAAAGACAAAAAAAAATAAGCTAAAAATAAAAGCATATTTTTTGTTTTGCTTTTTCATTTTGGTTGAGTGGGCCCCAGGGAAGACCCAGGACATGCTGGAGGGAGTCTTGCCTGGCCTGGGAACGCTTCGAGGTCCCACCGGAGGAGATGTCTGGGGTGAAGGAAGTCTGGGTGTCCCTACATAGACTGCTGCTACTGCAACCTGGCCCCAGATAAGTGGAAGAAAATGGATGGATGGATGGGCTTGCATTTCCACAAACCTGACTGTATTTAGTTTGGCAAAAATTTGGTCAAGACAAAAAGCAAAAGACTATTGTTTTCCAAAAGGTCTTTTGTTGTTTTGTATTCTAATGTCAGACTGGTACTGGAACGTTCTCTGTAGTCCATCACAGATATTGGTCCAGAGCAGTGTTGGGACACTTTACAGAGAATATGTATCGTTTTTTATTTGTTATTTATTGTGAATAGTAATTCTGTGTTCCAGTAGAGCTACTTTTTTCATTTGGTGGTGTTCCGAATACAGTTATGTTTCTAAAATCAAAAGAATACATGACTTCAAACTGCACATAATTAGTGAGAAAAATATAAAACACTGCTCTTGTGGTGCAGTGTAATTTTTCCTTCTCTGATCAGTGATAAATAAATGCAAAACAAATGGTAAATGGTTATTTTTTTTAATATAGCGCTTTTCTACCTTTAAAGCACTCAGTGGTGCTTTTGGTGTGGTTTTTGGTGAAACTAATTTGAAACTGATTTTAATCCTATGTCCACTATAAAATGCAACCCTGTGTGAAAGCCTTCTGAGTATTCAGAATATACAGTATTCTGACTGGACCATGTATTGGAATAAATTACAAAATACAGTTTAATGCAGGTATTCAGTATTCTTCCCATCACTGGTCCATAGCATGGGGCAAAGTGGATCTTATTTGTGGGCTAATGATATTCTGATTGGTCATTTAATTTAATTTGTTTTATCTAACATATTATCTCATATATACAGTATCAGATTATTGAAATAAAATGCAATACTGGCATATTTGAATCACATTCCAAAGTATAATGAATGTGATCTCCCTGTTTCATAATCCTTTTGTTTTGGTCACTGGTGGTCTTACATCACTGTTCTCTTTACTCCCGATGACGCTTTGTGTGGTCCCTCCCTTACCAATCCCATGGCCCCTGCTGAAGGATGCTGCAAGAGCGAGTGTTCTGATTGGTCTAGACCAGACCCCAAAGCCAATCTGTTGCTAAGAGACGTGACGATGTGTTGCTAGCTGCTGTCTGTCGTCCTGGTAACAGCAGGAACAAGAGGCAGGTTTGAGCCCCACTCGTCGCCCACACTCTGAGCATGTGTGAAACCAATAATCAAATAGTTTTCCTTTACAAATGCACATGTGCTTGTTAAATGTGCCCTTGCCACACATGAGGGTGCCAGCTTGTGAATGGAGTGTGAGAGGTTACATTGTAGAGGACTGCTGGCATCTTCTGAATCACTGAATCACAACCCAGACCTATTTGAGTCTGTTATGTAATGTTACGTAGGAAGTTCGCTGCTGTGTTCATGTTACACTGTGTATTGCAGTCTCTTCCACTTTATAGTTGAATTGACAAATAAAATTCTCAATATAATTATCAACATAGAAAGTATAAACATTGCATTCTATTTAAGAGACATGTCCTCCATACAGTCCTGTCTCCTGTCCAGTCTTCAGTGTTTTACTGTAAGGGCCAACTGATTACAGTCCAGATAAAGATTTGTATTTTTGTATTTTCTTGATTACTTACATTACTGTTTTTATTTTGTTCTGTTGTGATTGTATGTGAAGAAAAGTGCTATAGAAATTAAGGTTATTATTATTATTATAAACATCTTAGGTAGAGACTTGACATTGACCAGTCCAAAAACAGATACCATAATTTGTAATAAAGGACTTTTATACAATTGCTCAGTGTGCCTTGGATTCTTCTGATTATCAGTACTACTTCTTTAAGGCAAGTTTTGTCTCTCAGTAAATGTGCACATCCTTGAAGAGCACCTGATGTTTTCACACTTACGCACACCTTGAACCAGTGAAGCACTCACGTCCTTATCTGCCTTCTACAATTTTAGTTAGTTGAGACTTTGCTGTACAGACTTTCTCCACTTAATGGTAGCACCAGTGAGACAGCTTGGATGTGCCACTCTCCTTACTCTGCCAATCTGCAAGAGTCACTTTTGTATTGGTCTAGTACAGAAACTTAAAAGTTCATGATGCAGCTGTCTCAATCAGGCTTCTGCCCACAATGGCAATGTCATTTAAAAGCCGGACTCCTACTTAACTGTTTGAACTGTTTTATGTATGGAAAGCTCAACCAGGTACAGGAGTTGGAATTGACACTAGCTATACACTCTATGCTTCGCATCAGCTGCATGGTCTGCCTGTGACTATGTATGTAATAAATAAATAGTAATAGTAACTTTATGGTGGTTTTGGTGTGGTGTAGAGATGCTTTTAAACAGATGCACAGCTCAAGACTTTTATTCAGCACTTTGTGCATCAAAACCTTTATAATGTTTAAAACAGGTGCACTTTACACGAAAGGATAAGTTCTTATAAAAACACACAAAGAAATAATACAAATATACTACTGTTAAAAATCAAAGAAAAAAATAGCAACCCACATCCATGGTATAATAATAAATACACATTAAGTACTGTGATGCCACTTCTTATATACAAGAAATACCTTTTCATTTATATTAATATAAAGTGTAATTTTAGTGTAAGTATTATATGAATGTGCCATGTCCAAATCTCACTTAAAAAAAACAAAAACAAATAACAGACACTCCTCAATATTTCTCTTATACTGTGTACAGGGACAGCAGCAAAATGCCATCATTTAATACTTGCAGTCCTTTTAAATTGATCATTAAAAATATGTCTCCATTAGTTAAAAAGTTATTTACAAAATGTCCTGCTGAACACCAAATACTGCTGTATGTATACACTGAGTGGCCCCTGGAGGCCTGGCGCCTGCGTTTACAGTGGAGTCAGTGATATGGCTTCAAGAAGGAAAACCTCAGATCCTCTGAAGTGATATTTACACAGGAGTGAGATAGAATAAGATGAATCTGGTAAATCATGTAAAACACAGTGTCTGTTTTAAGAGCTATATGCCTTTTCAGGTTTCTATTTTTGACACAAAATACAGTTCTGGGACATGTAAACCTCCTTTAGACTCCAGTCCAAACCTTACGGTTGTGATGTCATGCTCTGCATTAAAGATGATGTCACTTCCAATGCAGGCGCTCATATCTCAGTAAGAGTGAGTTTGTACAGGCCTCCACTCTCTTCTATGGACATCTGGAAAGTGTCCTCGTTAGAGTAGTGCCGGATGATGTTGTCGTCCATGTGCACCAAGATTCTATACAAACAAAGAGTCATTTCACCTGCTCCATCTCCACTCCACATTTTATTTCTCAACACTGTTTCTTACAGAATGATGCAATCATTAAGCTCTTATGTCTAACCAAATTATTTAGCAATAAGGAAAGAATTATTCTAAAAATATGTATACTCACCCTTTCTTACATTTCTTGTACACTTTCCCCAGTTTGTCCAAAGGCAGGTCATACTTCTCGGAGATCTGAAAAACAATTAGTTTGATTCATTTTATTACAGTTCGTTACTTGTTCAAATGTGTGTCACCAGTGAGATCTGAACTCACCGCTTCCATCAAGCCTTTGAGAGTAGGATTCTTCAGCATGACGGCATCAAACACCTCCTCTGCCTCTTTACGCACGTACAGCAGCACTGCGGGAGATAGACAAGAAAAGTCCGTCTGTCACCTCTATGTTAATATCAGGAGCTGAAAACGTCACAGCATGATGATGTACGCTTCATTACTGGACTATAAGCTCTGGAACAGGGGATCCTCATTAATACTGCTTTAGATACAATCATAGTTAAATCCCGGGTCTTCCTGTGCCTCTCAATTTGGCACTTATTTACTGAGATGTTGAGAGGTTGAATGGCACACGATATTATGTATGTCGAATGTATGAGCTTGCATCTATATCACTGCAGATTCTTATAAAAAGATCAATCCATGATTATATGCTACAGTGAAGTTTGTGACTGGACTGTAGTGAAAGTGTAGATCTACAACTTGAAAGAAGAAAGCAGGTGCAGCTGTGTGCACGTCAGTGTAAATTAGGCAAAAGGACAGTTGAAGTGTTTGTTGGGGCTGCAAGCACTGGGCACGTGTGAGTGTTTTGAAAGAGCCCCTGATCACATGGCTCTGAGGTGGGGGATGGACTTCCCCTGATCAGCATGTGAGAGCTACACACATACCTTTCTTTGGTTCATCCAGTCGAACCATTTTGTTTGGAGGCGAAGCAAACTCATCCTCGCTGAAGGGTAATCTTTTTATGCCCGAGCTGCATTTGAAAACATAAATCACATGTTAGTTTTCTTTTACAAAGCCACATGCACACATATAACCAAGCATACACACTGCACGCTTTTTGGAAGCATTACATTGACCTAACCATAACCACAGTAAATCACCAGTTGCCTATGACCTAAACACTAATGCTAGCCTCTTCAAACTCGTAATTCTATAGTAAATCCCATGAATTGACTGTCTAGTCCCCACAATGTGATAAATACCCGGCCACACACACGAGGTGAGGGAGTGCACACAGCCGCTAGTTCCTAGAAGTCTGTGCACATATGTCTTTGACAGGAATGCCACTGAATTTACACTCACCTGTCTTCTCCTTCTTCTGATGTGAATGGCTGCAAAACAAAGATGAAAACAAACTTTAGATTTTTTTTACATGGATTATATCATTCTCTCAAAAACAATGTAAACAGTACAGATGTTTTTTTTTAGCCAGAGCAGGGGAATCTGAGGCATTTTGGATGTTGGATGCTGCATGAATAAACTGGGCTAAAGGTGAAGCCCATAGGCAGGTCATATTTGCCCTATGTAACTGTCCTTAAACACAGGTCAAAGAGCAGCAAAAATATAGGCTATGTTTTTGTGAGTTAAACTTTGATGACTTTGAAGCATTAATTGTTATTTTGTTGTAATAATAAAAGTGTCTCCTGTTATGCTCACTGTTTGTTTACAGTCCGCGACAAAACAATTTCGTCAAATCACTGCAGGATTCGTACAAATGTTTGGGACACCAGGAACTGAGCCGCTCGATGGGACCTTACACTCTGCAAACACATTGATCTGAGTGCTGCTGTTAATAGAAATCTGCTCAGAGCAATGACCTGGCCTTATCTTCAGCCTGCCCAGTCCAGTCACGTTCCCCGCTGCTGCTGCTCTAAAAATACTGTGCTTTTGCTGCATGGGCTCCGCATGCACAGACCTTTCACACAGATAAGAAATGTGGAGCTGCACTTTTCAGCCTGCAGGGGGCAGATTGAATTTACTAGTCTGGGCTCCAATTAAAGTGGGGCACTGAAAGAAGGAACTTAAAACTTAAAGGCTTGAGACATAATTGTTGCTTTTTGTTTTGTTCTTCAATTACAGTTGATTAAAATGAAATACTTAAAGAACTTAATTTATGTATGATTCACAAACTAAATGTTCACTTGATATGGTAAATGTAGATTTTAAAGAATCACATATATTTGGCTGATTAGATGGAGTGAACAGAGTGGCTTTTGCACTCACATGGCGCTGGTAAGTACTGAAATGGATGTCAGGGATGAAGAGCACTGGCTGCGTCTCCAGGTCACTCATCATTTTGAAGATGGTCACATCATTGCGTTTCTGGATGATGGGCACTTTCACGTCCACAACTGTAAACAGACACAGATGAGCTTGTGCATGTGGCAGTGGCACTGAGGGCAGGAGAGAGGCACTCACAGGCCAGGCTGGGGTTCATCTCGGACACCTTGCCTTTCCGTCTGGACTGTTTTCGCTCCTCATCACGGATCTTCCGCTCAGCTCCCTTGTCACAGAACACCTTGATCTGGCAGTAGGCGCGATGGATTGGTTTGTTGCTGCGATTGTTGTAGCTGTAGGTGTCGATCTGGAGGTTGAGAGGTAAGCCCTTCACGCCCTTCTGAGAGGAGAAATCCGTGCTCAGACAGTTGACCGAGATGAAGATCTGCAAATGGAGCAAATGGTTAGAGCAGTGTGCATTGAGGAGGCCTCACTGTTGCAAACTCTTACAGACTTTTACTTTACTGTTTTCTTCCTAATGAAACCTTAATGATGTTTGTGTGATGAATGTGTATATGATGTTTTCATGCTCTCTTTCATGCCTTTTCTTGTAGTTGGAAATGTACTTGCAATACATCTTTCACACTGCTGAAGTTATTAATGCAATGTTTTCATGCTCTCTTTCATGCCATTTCTTGTAGTTGGAAATGTACTTGCAATACATCTTTCACACTGCTGAAGTTATTAATGCAAAATAGCAAACCCTATTCACTTGCGTAACCCTTCCATTTCCAGGTTATTCATGCCAGGGTCAGGAGGTTTGCGTAAGCCGTCCCCAGTCCCTGTGCTGACAGTCGTTTGCCTCCCCCTGCTGGCCAAGCTAAAATATTACACTGTTCTGACAAACAAAAGGCTTTATCTATCCAGTCTCACCCATATCCTCTTATGAGCGTGTAGTAGTTATAACTCAATCCCCTGCCTCCCACGTGTCTCATTCTTACATGCACACATAGACAAGGAGCCTCTGGGCGCCAGGACAGTTAGAAACAGCTCATCACGGATCATTTGAACAAACAGCCTCAGAGCAGGTAAACAGCTCTGCCCTTAGTCAATACACTAGGCTGTTTGCGGGGGGAGAAGGGGGTTGCCATTTAACACCTTCAACGTTTAAAGTAATAACACAGTGTTATAAGGATCCACATCACTGAGTGTGTCACAGCCATCCTTGTTCAGCGTTTCCTGGATCTAACGTTGCCTTCTAACTGTCATCACTTGTCTCTTTGTGCTGCCTTCTGCATCATTTCTGCCACTTGTTCAACAGGACCAGTGACTGTTCCATTTCCCGTCTCTGAGAGTTTCCTCATTCCTGCTGAAAAATACCTCCTTTCTGCATTGGACACCACAATAGTGAAGACAGGCAGGTTGGACCAGTCCAGACACCCTTTCCTAGCACACAGACATGACATCACCCTGCTACTGCGGATCACAATAAACAACCTTGTGATCAGCTTCTGTCATCACTCTCCTCAAAACTAGATTCAATGTGGGTGCCCTCATAATTTTTAAAATTTCACACAATGTAGTGTGGCTCAGTAGTTCAATAGCTGCAACATGTATCCTGTTAATTCTGTAAATCTAACACTTCAAATTCCATTAAAATCATGTTTAATAATAAAATCAGAAATCACAAAAATAAATACTTAATGAATTAATTTATATTTATTGTATTCATTAAGCACGGTTAATGTATTTATTATTTATTAATATTATCACAAATTCTAAAATTCCAATACTCTATCCCTCAAAATGATAAACAACTAAAAGTTTCATAAAATGAATTTCAAACCAGATAAAAGTTTGGTGTTTACATTATAGTTTGAGAAACAGATGTTGTATTAATATTAATAAAACTGAAAACTTTAAATTTGACATTTCAATTTGAAGATAAAGGGGACTGTTCTGCATTTATATTTCTCTTACCTTGGCTTCTTCATTGGTATCCCAGGTAAAAGAAATTGCATTGTATGAAATTTCCTCAATGTTTCCAATGGTATTGAAACTCTCCTTGTAGTCAGCTGAAAAAAGGCAAGTTTGGAAGTGTTAGCAGGCTTGAGGTGTCTGAGCCCTTTGGTCACCTTCAAACTGCAGTAAAACAATTTTAGGAGTGAGGCCATGTTACGTTTTATTGAAATTAAGTGCAATGATTGAGGTATTGACCTTCTTCCCAAAAAAGAGAGGTCACCAGTATGATGAGCAGGCCTCACTTCTACAATACATTTGACATAACGTTCTTACCAATGTCGAGACACCTCTGTTTGGCTGTGTGCTGTCTGGAGTGCCAGTACTTCCAGTGCTTAAGCTGGTCTTCTCTGCACTTCTCCTCTCCAAACACCACCATCACTACGCTCTGCCACACAGACCACAGACCATGAGACCCCAACCTTCAGTAGTCCACGACCTCCCCACTGCCTCTCCTCTGTTACACACTCACCCGCACTTTGGTGATGGGTTGCTGCAGTCCTTTGCTGTCCACCTCTCTCAGAGTGATGGGGTAAAACTGGCCCTTGTTCAGGTACGTCATTGTCCCATCTCCTGTTTTCTGCCGAAGAGACTTGGAGGCTTCCAATGTGTACTCAAAATTATTTCTGAATAAAAAAGGAAAGGGAAAAATACGAATTAAGTCACTATAACAAATTGTTCTTCAGGTAGGGGTATACCATTAGGGAAACATATGTAATTGCAATATTTCTGACAAGCATTGCGAATGTGATTCATTTAAGTTCATATTTTTTACATGTCCAGAAGAACTGACAAAAATACAGAAATATAAACTGACAAACTTATACAAGAACAGACTCACATTTCACAACATGTTTGTAAAGATCTAAACTACAGTGTTAGCCATTTTTATGCAAAATAGAATATTGTGGTAATTCAAAAATTGCAGCCCTTGCTATTTGCTAATTGTGTCGATTGTAATTGTAATGTTTTACAGTGAATCAGAAGCAGAGGGTGTGTTCATCAGCCAAAGCCATGGAACAAACCGTTGTTAACATATTGTTATACATGACTAGAATGTGCTGAAGGGTGGCCTGTGTGGATGGAGTGGGTGCTGTGGCTGGATTTACCCTTGCACGCTGTCAAACTGAGCATAGTCTTCGGGCGTCATGGAAGCCATTCGCAGCTGGAGTTCCCCTGGGAAGGAAAATACCTGCAAAGAAAACAACAGTCTATTGCTATTTTTGGGGTATTTTTATACATCCTTTTATTTTGATGAGTTTCTTTTTTTTTTTTTCAGATTCTTTTTTTCAGTTCTCTCTATAGTCTACCTACAGCGTCCCTCCTGTACGAAGTCTTTTGTTCTGTTACTGTTTTCTAAGGTAATTCCCCTCCAGGTCAAACAGAGAAAAGAGGAGAGAGAGGGCTTTGGCTATTGTGAGAGTAAAGTACAGCACTTTATTGTGTTGGTGAGACAATGGCATAATAACACACTGGCCACTATTTTGGCATGTTCAAATAAAACCAGGGTAGGCTGAGCCCACCACTGGCTGCATGGATCGGATGAAAAGTTCTATTGTTCCCAGGATGTGAGAGAGAAACGTACCTCCTGGGAAGCGTCCTTGAAGCTCTCTGAGAAGGTGGAGTCGGGGGGCGTGCGGGCCTGGGTGCTGGGGCTGAACTGCACCGTGTTGTGGGCGAGCTGTCGGTCAAACACTCCCACATGAGCCTCTTCAGCACAGTTGTTTGGTACAGTGACAGAGAAGCCGTGTGTAGGCACTTCTGTTTTGATGGGAGCAAAGTTTGGCACAGCAGCGATGGACACAGTCACAGTGGTGTCTGTAAACAAGCCAGACTTTTTTGTATTCTTTTTATCCATATGTATGAAATTTTATGAACGAGCGACCTACAGTATATGTGCTACGTTCAGTCTGGTCTCACCTGGAGAAGCGAACTGATTCCGTTTTTCCGGGTTTAGGTGGAGAAGGTTAAAGGGCCCTTTGAGGACCTGGATACGGTTCTCCATCCCAGCCTCCTGAAGTGGACCTATGGCATGTGCTGTCTGAATCTGCTGCCTGTGAACAAACACGCACTTATTCACAATCATACTCAGCAACTCAAACAGTAACACTATTCATAAACAAGTTCCTAATGTACTATTACTAAACTGCTACAGAATTAACCAACAAGACTTTTGTAACTACATGAAATTATGGACTTTGGCATCACATTTTAACATGCTTGTGTTCAGAGGGCCACTGTGAGTTAGGCCCATGTTTGTACCTTTTGTTGTGATCCACATCAGAGAGCAGTGCGTCAGGTTTGCCCTGAGCTATTGTCCTCTTCTCCCTGGGCACCTGTGAGAGGGTAAACACATGCTTAGATCACATCATTCTGCAGCCCCAGTTCTTCATAATGACATATGCGATGGTCAAATGGCCCATATATGCAAAATGGGCATATTCCCATCAGAGTGCCCCAAAGCAGTTGAGTATGCAGCTGAGTGCTCGTGATTTAATGTGATATTGGCCCCATTCACAATGAAGAATTTAAGGATAAAAGGTTAAAGGGCTTATAGGATAATGATTATGAGTAAGGGGAGGACCTTGTAGTAGTCGTAGAGCAGCCCCAGAGCAGCAGCACTGTCCTCATCTCCGTTGATGCTCATCATGGCTTTAGTGGCAGCTGTGAGAGGGTTCTCCAGAAATGACTTCCATGCTTCGTCTTCATTTGTGAAGGGCCGCCGCTGCCCCCCATAGCCTGTCTCATTCTGGAGCACCAGCACGGCTCGCTTACTGCAACATACCACAGCATTTATGAAATTATCATAACAACACATTAAATATAATGTAAGATTCACTGAAGTTATTTAAACCATCCACTGGGTCAGAAGAGATTGTGCATTGGTTAGACCAGTTGTACAGGCTTTTCAATGATTGTGCAACAAATCTGAGCCATGGTATGAGCAGGGAAAAGATGCTCCACAGCCCTGTCCAGTGTAACAACTCTGCCCTCTCTGTGTAGCATCTGATTGGCTCGGAGCTGGTCTCAGTGACGTCTGACTGGCTCAGAGCTGTACGAAGGTGACGGAGGTGGCCCTGCCACATTCCTGCACTGTGTTGAGGCTCCACCACTAAGTGTGAAGAACTTGTTTTAATCGTATCGTAATAATATAATGTTTTTAGCAGCCCCAGTCAATGTCATATCCAGAGCAGAATGTTTACTCTTATACAGAATGCTGTCTTTGGTATCATCTGTATGAAGATCCTGTGACTGTCTGTTGGGATTGTTCCGTGGAACCCACATGCCACTATCACAGCTTGTGCTCTATGGAAATCTCACTGTTAAGTGTAAACGAACAGGCTCAGTTTCCAAGTTTAGTATCTACAACAAATAGAGCTTTAAACTCCACAGTGCCACTGAAGTGATGATTAGTAATCCTAGATCTAATTGTGCCACTGACAAATTGCAACCTGATAAGAAGCATTCATGGGCAGTGGGCTTTAGTTTGAACAAAGAGTGACAGGTTTATTACAGACTCCATTCAAATACCCCAGCCTATCTACACTAAAGCCATAATGTGATTGAAAACAATTGTTTTAAACATTTAAACATGACATGTAACCCAAAAGCTCATAATGGTGCATGCAAAATGAGTCTAAATAAACCCAAACAGGCACACGCCAGTGGCTACAAGCCATATTAGCCATATTACGTGAGTGTAATATGGGGATGGGGCAAAATACTTAGTGGATGTTTCTTAGGCTATGTGAAAAGCACCCTGTGTTTTTTACATTGTGTGTATGAGCAGTGAGCCAACGCCTAACAGGTGTACAGTTTCATTCCCCTCAAAAGTCCTGTCATATCCTCAAAATCTATTTTCACCCCCTTTAACCCCACGTAAAGGACCGGTATATGACTGCACTGCTCTGAGGTCGGAGGCTTCTTTCCTTAAACAAACATGATTAGCACAAATCCACAGAACTGTTGGAGCTTACAGCTAAACCAAACACACACCGCCCTGCGCGATCACGGGACGCTCTCTCACAACACGACAGGTGGAGATACACCTGTACAGGCTCCGACATGACAGGTGAACACGCTGAGGCGCTGCCTGCGTGGGAAAAACACCCGCGACCGCAGTGAGACAACTTTCCCGTTGGGCAGCCATGCTTTGATAAATTAGGGCCCATGCCCGTGATAAACAGTCTGAACACGGCCCAGAGGCCCGAGAGCTGCGCGGCAACAGACTGGCGAAAGCTCGTATTCCCTTCAAATGAACAACTCCTTTAGCCATATGATAGGCGCATATAGCCAACGCATAAAATACGTTTGTAAACCTAGACATTTTTACCCTGTCACGTCTACTTTTTGCAAGTTGCATATTAGACTTACATAAGAAAAGAAAAAGAAAAACAGATTCAGCAGTGCAGTCGTCACGACCTAAGAGTTTGTCCTAAAAACAAGCATGTGAGTGGAGTGCAGAGCAGAAATAAAGAAGCCTATATTAATAAAACAAAACAACAAAACAAAACAAACAAAAAAATCAAATATAAACATTAAAAAATGCGCAAAAAGCTGTAGACTCAAATGCAGTGAACAGACATGCAACAGATTTCAGCAGGCCAGCAGCAGGTCAAGGACAGTTAAATAAATATAAAATCCTTAAAATTGACAGAAATTCCCACAGTGACTGGGCCAGATCAGAGGGGCTGTGTGCATCGGAGTTGGGACTACTTACTTGTCATGCTCCTGTGACATCTCCTCGGTCGAACTGGACTTTCTAGTTGGTACTGAAAATCCGATCCGTCTTCTTTGGCTTACTCTAACGCAGTGGATGAGGGCTGCGGCAACAAACAACAGGAGAACCCGTTTTGTCAGCTTTTCTCGCTTTTTGGGGCATCACAGAGAAATTAAGGCCGGTTTTACCTGTGACAGGCCCGCGGATTGGATTACAGGTGAGCCGCGAGGCGGGGCCTAACGCTAAATTTCGTCTGTGCGCTCTGTGATTGGACAGGAGCTGTCCAACCTGAGCTGCAGGGGGGACCGGTGCAAGTGAACATTACCGGTGAAACAGCGGCGATTGCGTCATTGGATGCCTATTATTAGGCTTGATACAAACCGCACAAATAAACTACAAATTAGCTAAGGGTGCAAAGGCCTAGATTGAAATGTGTTATTTTCTTGTGAACATTGGATGAACTGGTAGCCTACTTGGGGTCACTGGAAATCCAGCGGACCTTTGGTCATCTTGACGTGCAGAGGCCTTGTTACAGATGTTGAGGGACCTTTTCTCGTGTGAGACCAACGTGAGACCGAGACACAAGTGAGAGTGAGAAGGAAACCACCTGCGCATTCAGTGCTTCATGATGCCACTGCAGGCCTACATCTTTTGTTTAGGGCTCTTTGCCCCTATGTTCACTGTAGTTTGGCCTTTATTTCACAAGAACAATTCACAGATAGAGATGTTTTACACTATAAAAACATAATAGTATCATTTGTAGGTCTAAGGACAAATGTTCTCCCCTGAGTTTAAGTGTGCGCTTCTAATGAAATATCTTATAGCCTATTATTTTAACTGGTCGGTAAGGGTTAGGACTCCAGTGAATCCTTCCTATTTCATCACACATATATAGACTCTGACAATGTGGGGATAGTGTTATTGGGTAACTGTATTTGATTTGTGTGTTTTGCAGATGCTGGGGTGCCTCTGTGCGCGGTGCTGCAGTTGGCGTAGCCTTATGTAGCCTTATGGCTACATCACAGTTGCTGGAGGTGAAGAGCAGGTAAATTAAATCCCAGGGTGATAAAGAGACAGTGGAAGCACAACGTGAACCCCCTGTAATGTAGGGTTGACTGTATTCTAGTTCCATAATGCCTCATATGAGCCTATAATGAAATAGGAAACCTGTATTTTAAGGTGCTTTTATTTTAAGGTGTATTGGAGGTTCCACACATGCATGTCTATCACTGTGGTGTTCTGAGGCTTCCCTGTGGTCTCAAATGTATAACAAATCCAACAACACAGATGCATGGCATGAAAACAGAGACAACAAACAGCTTTGTTCAGGAGAGAAGAGGCTTAAGAGATGCTATCAGCCATATTCAAAGTACATACCCCTCCCTGCCCCCTATCAAAGGCGGGACAGAAACCCCTGCCCCTCCCCCGGAGCTCTGGATCCTGCTCTCTGTTGGCTCTGCAGCTTCATGGGACAGTGTGGGATGCTGACATGACACAGCCGTTAAAGCCAAAACATGGAAAATAGTGGATCAAAGAACACATTTTTAGCACACATGGGAAAAAATCAACAAAAACATTTTTCCAGCTGCAAAATTGATTTCATTATTATTGCAATAAACAAGTTAGTATCTGTTTTTTATTGTTCCTTTCTCTTAGATAAATAAAAACAAACAAAGCATTCACTTGTGCTGGCAAATTAAAAGAGAAATGCATTTAAATTAATTTACATTTTTATTTTAAATGACCTGAGCAGCCAGTGACCAGTGAGGACTGGTTGATATGTAGGATACATTTTTATTGTTTAATGGTTTTTCACTGTGGTCAGAACAACTTTCTGCTTATCTGCTTTGCTTTCCAAAAATCTGAAGCTAAAATAATAGCAGCAGCAGCAGTAGCAACAATATCTTGGTGTCTCCTGTTCTATCTGTTTTTGATGCTCACCAAAACTGATGTTACTTTCGAACATCTGATAGTTTAGCGGCTCCATCACAGATTGTGATAGAAAGACCGTTATCCTTTCACTCGGGGAATCCTGCAGGGAGGGAAATCAGATGCAAATCCAGCTCCACTTTTGACACTGTGGGGCATGTCTACACTTATCGGAGGGGGCATTAACTGGGTCTGACTGAGCAAAGGCATTGGGGGCTGTTATTGTATAAACACTGTGCAGATAAGACAATACAAAACATGTGTATCTTTTAGTCTTTTTGGGAGCATCTAACTGTAATTCTGAGTGAATAAAACATAAAGAATCATTGTTTCTCTTGACATTTAGTTGTAGCAGGATTTAGGGATAATGTTGATATTGACATTGTGGGCTGGCCCTGGTGAGTGTCTATTTGTCTTGTACCTGCCGCTGTGGAGTGGGGCACTGAGTGAAAGCGTTTTGCTGAGCCTCAGAGATGTTTATCACAAACCTCACAGTGATGACAGTAAAAACAGTTAGAGACAGTGAGGGCCGGGCACACCTGTATCTCATGCTTCACGCACACTCTCACACAGCCTCTCGGCCTCTCACTCTCACTAAAGCACCATTCGGTCGAAAAGTCAATACTAATATGAAATGTCCAGACACTTGTGCATCCACTGCCCTTGTATTTATCTTCAGAAACACCTTTGATTCAGACATATTCTATTTTCAGAGCCATGTTGGAGAAAAGAGTTGTGGTGGAAGGAATGTAGTTGAACAGAACATGCTACATTCCAACAACATAGAAAATCTGTCAAAAGTACACTACTAATGTACTAACACACACCTGTCAGGTACCAAAAAACAAAGTAAAACATAATAATAAGAGAGATAAATGGTGATAAATAAGCTGACCTGCTGAAATTGTCTATTAGGCATTCAAAGCAATATACTCTAAGTACAGTATTATGAAGAATTATAATTTATAAAGACATATTTTGAAGATAGAAATGTGAGCACTGACTTCCTGTCCAAAACGGAGAACGATTTAACGCCGTCTGTTCATGGTGACGTTTCACTGTAACAAAAAGCATTTCACTTTTGTTAGTTAGAATCAGAGGTGGGTGGAGTAGCCAAAAAATCAAATTAATATTAGTCAAGTTGAAGTGCAAAAAGTGGTCCAAAAAATTACTCAAGTAAGAATTAACAACGGTAACTTAAAGAGCAAGAGTAAAGTGAATTCAAATTATAAATGTGTGATTTATAATTTGAATTCAATGTAATAAGAAGGATGGACACAGAAATGAGAAAAAAACAACATCATATTTGAAGGAGTGGTGCAAGAAAGTGGAAAACTCTCTTTTAGAAAAGCTGCATAGTGAACCTTTAACGTGTGGTGATTCTTAAGAAGCTGAGGCAGAAAAGCCCTTTCAGATTAATTTATATGTATTCGATCCCGTGTGTTAAGTCTTGGGCCTTTTTTAACTTCTTGACGCACTGTGGGCATTTAGTGAGCAGGTTAGTTTGTAAGGGATGGAAAACCAGCTCTGCCACTTGCTGTCACCTGCTCTCGCTCATCAGGTTTAGCATCTTTGGGCGGATTTGAAGTCAACATAACAACACAAATCACAGCATACACACTCCGAGCATAAAGGCATACATGTAATCAAACAAGTATTCAATTGTGTGCCAGTGGAGAATGTTATAAACAGTATAAGTGACATTTTCGTAGCATTATAGGACAGGGAGGGGGGAATATGGTTCACAGACACAAATCTGTTGGCACTGAAACTTAACCTAATTATTCCAGTTCACTTTGTGGCTCCAGCCTTAAAACCATGCACTGAGCACAATGACACTTCATAATTTGCTCTCTTAGTTTGTGTTTTGGGTGCAGCTCTTCTTTTCGCCCACAGAGGAGCTCAAAGGAATCCTCCCAGAACAGAAGTGCGGTCAAACCAGAAAGGCATCTTTAAGAGGAACTTGCAATAAAGGGCTGAGACCATGTGAACTGCTCATAAGTATAGTCACGGGTACATAACATTGTCACAGTTAGAGATGTCTAGATCCATCTATTGTGCAGATAATTTCGTGTCAAATTGAATAATATCGCAAATTTAATAGCAACAATAACTCATAATTTAATAAAATTCACATGTAGTAAACTATTATTTGAGGCAATGCAAGTGAAGTAATGATTTAAAAATAATATTATACATGGTGTCTCCATATTTGAGAATAATGTGATAATTATATTTTGCTCAGTATATTTTTGAGAGATCAATGACAGTGTTTGTGTCACCTTTGGATAATATAAAGGGATTGAATCAGGATAAAATAAATGTATGTGCCCTACAATCCTATGGAAAAAAGCTGTTTGTATGAAATGTCTATAGCAGTCGCTTCAGGGGCTCAGGTTGTATTCATGTTATAGAATTTGATTATTCTGTCATTTCTGATGGAGGCCACCACCCTATAACTTAATTTACTTTTTTCAATAGATAAATGTTGAACTTATTTGTTGGGATCTATAAACGTGTCATATTAAACTTAACTCCTAAACTTACAGTAATCACATCCTTGTGGTTGAATAAGACGCTATTTTGAAAAAACGAATTACACCTTTATTTATTTGTGTTGACAGGGAAAACGTTTAACATGGTGTCTGTCTTTGTTCCATAGGCCCAATAATTACAGAGCGGTTGAACTTAAACAAGGTAAACTAGCCCACTTAATCAACAAATGTGCCACAAAATTCTGACCTGCCCTCCATCTACTGTACCAGCCTAGTTCATTAGACCAGGACATTAACCACTTCAGACTTAGGCAAATTTTGAGGACATTGTGCAGGCTGTTGATGTAATCAGAGGATAATAGTTTAAATAGTTTGAGTTAATAAGTTAATAATGAAAAATATAGTGTTTTCAAGACAATTGATAACTTATTGATGTGGATTTGACTGCTGAGGGTTTGGCTCTGCTCAGTTTCATTTCACACTTGTTGGCAAAATCTAAGCATGAGTGTTTCCCAGTGACACATTCAGCAGTATCTCTGTGACATGTACGAGCCTGCAACAGTTTCTGTTGTCTTCAGTCCAACCGTCAACCTCCCACAACCCTCCCAGCACCCTGGCAAGCACAACCCACAGCCCTGCCACTTACTGTGGGTCAGAGCGTGGTCTTCTGTGGGTCAAAGTGTAGTCTGTGGGTCAGAGTGAATTCTGCTGTGGGT